ACTACAGTACATCCATCGCCTACAAGAATCAGAAATAAGCATGTCATAAAGCACTTTTAAACGAATCTTCATTCAATAATCCAAAAAACACTTTGCAAATTTACATTACAATCCAGGAAAATGAGAGAAAAAACAACTTATTTCTTGTACATTTAGTCAAAACATAGCAGGGGACAGATGATGGAATTACTGCAGCTAAGCACAAACCTGTTAGGTCATGAAGTTATAAAAAAATCCAGAAATAGTAATTGACTCTTCCAAAATGACTTCATTACTGTATAACTTTCATGTACTGTGAAATACATTTGGAACAGATGGAAGAGATTGGTTTCTGCCTGACATTCATCTCCAAACATAAGTTTTTGTAACCCAAGTTACTTTGTTCTTTGAGATGACGCCTGTATAAACTGTTAGGAACAAAGGAACAAGTCATTAATTTTATTTTCGTGATAGTCCCTAATAAATGTTTCTTTTCCATTTTTTTTTCTGACTGTTTAGACAGAAAACTTAGAGAGTTACATGCACACACTGCATATGGCATGTCTCCACATGATAGTGCACAATCTGCAGGCAGGAAGGCAGTTTATTAAGTGCCACTGCTCACTGAACCTCTGCAAACAGTAATGAGTTGGTTTATGACCGACAGTTAATCAAAGTCACTAAACCTTTGTTTTTTTTCTTCAGGTTCTTGAAGAGGAATTTATTAAGAGACTATGTTTCTCAAGATCAGGTAAGATGCGTGAATATTTTCCTCACAGAAGGTAAAGGATCTCACTGCTTATTCATTTACACCTTAATAAACATTTGTAGAAAAATGACTACAAATATGTCACCTTGCAACTCACAACTGGCAACCCCAATGAAGCTAAGCAGGTGTGAGCCTGGTCAATACCTGGATAGGAGACGTCCTGGGAAAGCTAAGGTTGCTGCTGGGAAGGTGTTAATGGGGCCAGCAGGGGGCATTCATCCTGCAGTCCATGTGGGTCTTAATGCCCCAGTATAGTGACGCTGTTCTTTGCATGAGACATAAAACTGAGGTAGACTCTGTGGTCATTAAAAATCCCAGGGCGTTTCTTCTAAAGAGTAAGAGTGCTACCCCATTGACCTTTATCAATCATGGCTTCCTGATAATCATCGTCTGTGAACTGGCTACATCACTCTGTTCTCCTCCTAACTGAGAGCTGGTGTGTTGTGAGTGTACTGGTGCACTATGGCTGCTGTTGCATCATCCAGGTAGATTCTGCACATTGGTGGTGGTGGAGGGGAGTCTGCATGACCTGTAAAGCACTTTGAGTGGAGTGTCTAGAAAAGCACTATACACGTGTGAGAAATTAGTATTATTATTAATTGCATTTTTTAATATTAATAATTTTAAGCAAATCATTTTTTAAGCAAAATGTAAGTAAAACTAAAATGCTAGCGGAAGATCTAGCTCAGTTACAGAAATAGCTTGCTTCTCTCTCAAAGAAAAGACAGCAGGTAGCTGCAAGATTCATAACTGCAGTGTGTGCAGAGGTTTAGTAGTTTGGGAGCAAGTGGCAGAAGTCTGAACATATTTGTACATCCTTTTTGTGTAACACCTAAGCAAGTGCAGGGAGAAGAGACGCTTCACTGTTTAGTAAAGTAATGACCCAAACCTTGAAGCTGCCAGTAAGAAGAATAAGGAGCTAAGGGAAAAGGGTGATGGATGCAGATATTAGCACAAATCCCCTTAAAACATGTGTTTAAACTTGCAATGGCTTCTGTTGAAACACATGTGGAAGCCTGGGTGATAAACAAATACTGTGCCATGAATATTGGAGGCATTCCAAGCCACCTTTATGAACAAACTGATACAATCAGCCAGAAAGTTTCTTACTCACGTGAGAATAGGAAATGTCTGCTCCGTTGACTCACAGAGCCATGCAGCACATTTTGAGTTTACACTGAGGGAGTAATGTATACTGTAAGTTTTTTCTTCATCAAAGCCACTGCCCAGATTGGTTTGCTTTTGCCAGTGGAAAAAGGTCATTCCTGCTTACATCAGTAATATCCTGGCTAGATCTGATTTGATTACAAACCCAGGTGCGCTAATTATTTCAACAATTCACTCTCCTCTCTATCTGACTCTTCAGCAACTTTCAAGTCTGTCATTGTGAAGGACTCTAGATACCCCCCTTGTTTTAGAAAAAATGATCTCCAATCTATGAAGTATGAGGTAAAAAAAGCCCAAAAAACAGTGGAAATAGACTAGATTCATAATTAAAAGATTCATAATAGGTTTAGAAAGATTTAGCAAGATGGAATTGTACAGGAAGAACTTAAACTCTCAGAAGACAAATACTTCTATGAGCTCATCACAGCTAATACGTTTTTTTCTCCGCTATTGACAGTTACTATCACCTTAAGCTTTCTCCACCTCATCTAAGGCTCTGCATCAGGATCTCATGGACTATTTCACTAATGCAATCTCTGCTTTTGTGAAAAGAACCAGTCGCACCTCATGTGCACTTACATACTGTACGAAAATTCAGCACCCCTTTCAGTGTACTCCTGCTGTTATAGCCCAGCTATCCTTGATGACCACCTTTTGTTTTTTGGATCCCCTATCATCCCGTAAAGTTTAATTTAAGTCTTTTTTCCCTCCTCTATTATGTAGGTCCCCCTTCAGGTCATAAAGGCCCATGGGGATTGGGGAGCAAGGGCCACCATTTTTCTTGACCATCCAGCACTGGAAATGGAGGTGATGTGGTCAGCATCACGCTCTCCCTCCTCTGTTACGTACAAGATATCTGCCACTTACCTCTGATTTAGTTCCAGTTTCAAAATTGCTTTGATTACCACTTCACTTATAAAAAAGCTATTTCAAACATCTATGAATTTGCAAATTACTGTTCTATTGGTCTTCTTTCCATCCTTTCAAAGTGGAGAAACAAATTGCCATTCAATTAGAATCTCTGTTGTCCTCAGATGACTTATACGAGCAGTTTCAATCTGGTTTTAGAACAGCCTTGGTCTCAAGTTTTAATAAATTAAACCTGGACTGTTGTTCTAATTCTCTGTTGGTCTTATTAAATCTGTCAGTTGCATTCGACACTGTGGACATCACATCTTGCTCAAGCATCTTGAAACTTTTACATATACAGTAAAACTATAATGGCTTTGAAATGGTTTGAGACTTATCTGTCAAAGTGGGGTCAATTTGTTGCTGTTAATAATTTTAAAGTCCAAAATTGTCCCACTCTTTAGGTGTCAACCAAGACTCCATCCTAAGAACAATCCTGATTTTACTTCCATTAGGCAATTTCATCCACAAAAAAGGTTTCTGATTTCATTTTCACACTGGCTACATTTTGCTTTGCATCTCTGTCTTGTCTGATGCATCTTAATTCTGTCACATTGTTTAAGTGTAATTCAGGCCTGATTAGAGCCTGCATTTAAATATGACAAAAACTGAGGTGTTGCACATAAATCAGGGAAGGCACATCTAATTTATTAAATTACTTAAAGCATGGAAACAACAGCTTTAAATTATGCCCTACTATGAGTAATCTGAGAGCCTAATAAAAGCCAATTATAAAGTGTCGAACTCGTGATTGCACTGCGACTGAAACCTTGATTCAAGCCTTAATCATAATCCAGATCAGAGCTTCATTACTGCAATAGTCTTTATAGTGGTTTCCCTACCAGTTCCATAAACAAACGTCAAATGGTTGAAAACTCAGCTGCATGCCTTCTAACGCATTCAATGGTTCCATGACCCCATCACCCCAATTCTGACTCCTCTTCAATGGCTCACTAATACCTTGTTCATAAATTGTCAAGTTTCAAGGCCTACAAACCAAAATTCCCATAATACATAGCATCTTGCATTCCTCCCTATACAGCAAGAAGGGTTTTACACTGTTCAGGCACACCTTTTATCAGTACCTTCTTAGAGGCAGACGTATCCTGGGGTATGTGCTTTCAGTCAGCTTGCTCCACAACTCTGGAATTCACTCCCTGCTGCTCTGAGAAATTAAAACTCTTTTACAGTTTTTAAATCTAGACTAAAGACATCGGTTTAGTTCTTTTAATTAGTGCTTGCCTTTTCTTTTTTCCCGTTTTATATTTGAAATTCTCTTCAATGGTATTGGGATTTCTTTAACCTGTAAAGCACCCCAAACATTTTTGAAGTACATGGGCACTAAAATGAATCCTTAATATACAGTGTGATACATTGCTTCCCTTATTTAGGCCTTTTCTGAGCCTCTACCGTATTCAACACTGTATAGTATTGTTCCAGGTGTAGAGCTGACTACTTCCCGATTATACCCAAATGTGGCTTCAGAACAATAGAAGCCAAAAAACTCTTTAATTTGGAACTTGGAACCTTCTGTTCCAAGCTGGGACTCAAAATCATCTGGACATGTGTAGAGTCAGTCAAGTGACTCCGGTATCAAACACAACGCCAGTAGGCCATAAAGATTGTATGCCTGGTGGCATAAAAATCAGGAAACATTCACCAGCCTTCATCTATCATTGAAGAACCTGGAGCTTTGACATTACGAGGTGGATACTTTTCACAGCCCATTTAGACAGACCATGCAAGTATTTAAGCAAGATTCCCAAGGTGTTGCACAACAGCACAAACCTCTGTATGACACTGCAGGCCCAGAAACATTATATCGGAAATGTTGGTTCCCCCTTTTGCAAACACCTTTGAGGACGGAGCAGCTGTAGCATGCAGGCTGTTCAAGAACTAATTCAAAAGTAACAATCTTATGGTCATACTACAGCTGTTAGCAAACCCTTTGAGCAAGAGACCTATCCTTATGCCAAAAATTAATCTTGGTGCCTGCACTTGTTTTCACACATCTACAACTCTTATATCTTTTGTACACCAAAGTCAGTAGATCTACAGTAGTATTTATGCTGCCAGTCTGTGGTGAAGTCCTGCAGGTCCCTCCCAGTGCTGGCAGCTTCACTTTTGGGTGATTGGTTGTCAGTTGTGTGCACGCAGAAGGAATTCACACGAGATCTCCTTTTTTAAAAGTTTATTTTTTTTAAAAATGAGAAAAACATAAGATGGTTTCCAGACTTATGCACAGAACAGGTGGTACTACAGGTGTTAGAGAGGATCTACCTGCCAGCCTACACAAGGACACTACTCCTGACTCCTGTGCCACCTCATCTCCTGGTTACACCTAGATGAGATAATGGTGTCCCACTTGGACTACTGAACTGGAAGCAATCCTGTGTAAAGTGATGAACCATAAAATGCAGGGTGAGGGTGAAAACACGGAGCTAAGAGAAGGGTCAATTTTGATTCCAACCTTCAAGTTGAAGGGTGTCAACAGGAGTTAAATTTGAGGTGCCCCTGCAACCGAAGAAGGTCTAGTAGACGAAGACACTTACTGGACCATTTTGTTCTATAGGCCTCAGGAGGCTTTTGCTGTTAATTATTAATTTGATCTCTTAATGATAAAAAGTGATTATTTAACCTTTCAACTTGCCTACAGGTGTGAAGAGAAAAACAGCATGCACAATGTACTACCTGCACGTGCTCTGAAATGAGTCCTATATAAAGGAACCACTCATTTATTGAATTGATGGTTAAAATTTTCTTCTACTTTTCCAATCGATACCGTATGTACATTGAGCAGAGGAAAAGAGTATTTACAAGTAAGATCATGGTAAAACAAAATTCAAACTCTGAACATAAAAAAATAGATGACTGACTATCGATATCTTTAAAAATAGATAAAATACCTTTCATTTAACACTTACCTCAATCTCACAGTGTTAAAGTTATTACAATATAAACTAAGAACAAAGAAATACATTTTTAAATGGAAATACTTGAAATATACAGGATTTATCCACATTACTTTGATGCATTACTGCTATACAATGAGCGAATATAACAATTTAAAAGATAAGCAGAGGTAGATAAACCCAGTTAAAACTCAACACACAGTAACGGCAAGTGAGAGAAATATTGAAAACTAAAATATATCCTCCACTGACCTGTTGATTTAAATTTGAAATGATTCTTATACAGTGTCAAAGGAGTGTGTATATCAAAGTATGCAGACTCTATGAACTCTTACTGCTATAGTAGTAGAGTCATATTACTGTGAATCCATAAAATGTGTTTTTTCCTTTGTATTACTGTCAGCAGTTTTCTGTTTTTAAGATAAATGGTGACATTAGAATAAGGACTATCGTCGAGAGGTCAATAACACCTTGGTAAAACAACAGAAATCATGACTGAATTTTTCCCCAGCCTCTCCTTTCAAAAAAGGGCTTTATTAACACTGAACAAATCTGAAATAAAAATGGCATTTTATGGAAACTAAAAATCAAGTGAGTTAATTCAAAGACTTTTTAAAATATTTATATTCCATCACAGTACATACTTTACAAGTCAGGTAGAAACTTTAGGATTAAAAAAGCAGGAAAAAAAGATTATTTTTGTAATATATTTCTTTTCTTGAAAGCCTTTGGCAATCAATTGTAAACCATAACTCGTACATCTACAGAAAAACATGAAATAAACCTTTTGCTTATATTAGAGTGCTAAATATGGTAGAAAATTCATTAAAATTGACAAAAATGTTCTCAAAAGGCTTTCCCAAAATATTTAAGAGCAAAACAAGGGGGATGATGAATCATTTTGACTCTAAGGCAAGTACTACTTTGAAGCTTAAAATAATAACAATATAAAAATGTGAAAAAGTAAAGTTTTAAATATCATTTACAGAAAATGGACAAAGATGTGCTCTGGAAAACAGTTCCCTCCACACAATTGTTAACCAACATGGCCTAAGCCTTTCTCTTCCTTGTTACTGTCCCAGCGCTGGTTTCTGGGCTGCTGTCCACTGGTAAGCCTAAAGCCACATCTTCCATGCTAAAAATAAAACATCAACAATAAGAAAACTGTACCAGTTGTTTTCAACAAACTTGCATTAGAAACCTCTGTATAGTTCCAGAGGCTTCCATTGCACTTAGTGGTGTGAATATACAGGGAGTGGACAAAATAATAGAAATCCCTAAAGAAAAAAATATTTTAAAGTAACTAAATCATAATTAAAAAATATTGTATGTTTCATATTAATCTAAATAATAATTACAAATACATTTCTAAAGGATGTCTTAAATGTTAAATGTTGATTATAATATGCAGGCTTCTAAAGCAACACGAGAGATCTAACAAAACAGAGGCCTCAAAAATTTCACAAGAACATGAACTACGCATTCATGATCCACTCTCAACAAAAACTTAGTGTCCTAAGTACCGCAATGTAAACATGGTAGGGATGTCATTCTGAAACCGCTTGTAACTAAGCCCAATGTGCAGAAACACATGACCTGGTGTAATGAGCACATAACCTTTACTTCTGAGCCCTGGGAGAAGGTAATATGGTTTGGTGAGTCATTGTCTATTCTAAATCGGGATGGGTTTATGCTTGGAGAAACCCAAAATAAGCCACACTGCCTGTTCACAACTATTAAACATTGTGGTACCTCCATTATAGGATAGGCAGCCATCTCATGGGAGTCACTGGGTCTCACAATTACTTTTCAAGGTAGAATTATGACCAAGGAATACAAAGCCATTTTAGGTGACCACGTGCACCCTATGATGGAAACATTGTCTCCTCACAATGTTCCCATATTCCAAGACGATAACATCGCCATACACACAGCTAAACTGATTCAAGAGTGGTTTCTTGAAGGCCAGGATGAAGTCAATCACCTTCCATGGCTTCCCAAAACACCAGACTTAAACATCATTGAACCTTTATGGGAAGTAGAGTAGAGTACGGAGTAGATTTCCACCTCCTTCATCCCCCAAGGAACCATTTTTCTGGAAGAATGGTCCAACATCCCACTAGAAACAGTTCGAAACTTGTATAACAGTACTTCAAGAAGGGCTGAAGCTGTTCTGAAGGCAAAGAGCAGTCCAGTTCCTTAGTTAACATTCATACATCGCGTGGTTTCCACTATTTTCTTCACCACCTGTACTATTTTCTGCGACTCATTTATGGCAAGAAAATTTGCTCTGATCAAGGCGATATGACATTTTAAAGATTTTTTTTAGCACTTTCTATGCTTTTTGTACCTATTTCCTTGGGTGTACAAATACATTTTGAGACCACAGTTTGTGTTAATGGAAAAGAAAGCCTGAAATACATACAGAGCAGATTTATCTCGTCGTGCTCTTTTCGTATGAATGGGAATGGCATCACCAGTCTGCAATATTGGTCTTTTCCATCCTGCTCCATTTGTTTTACCGGTTGGTGTCATACCTGACCAAATAAAAAAACATCAGAGGACGATTGAGCTTAGAAACATGATTATACTTGTTTTAGAAAAATGCCAGTTTGTTAGGAACCTTTGTTATACTGTAAACAGCTTCCACTTTTAGTGCCATCCACAACTGCATCAATCAAAGCATCAGCTCCCTCAGAGGACACAGGACATAGGAGTAACTTTTTAACTCATTTGGAAGATTCCAAGTACTGGAAGTGTGGCTCACAGAACCTTTGTACATTAACTCCACTTAAGCGCAAGAGGATCCAAACTTTATTAAGAATGATTTAATATAAAATATAAAAGCTATCCCCCAGCTCTCAAACACCCTGTCTAAACCCTCATGTTAAGTCTCCAAATTACGACTTAATCATTTGTTGTCAGTTTAAAGTACAGATAACAAAAGTCTTTCCCAAACAAAGAGCAGTTTTTAAAGGGGTAAGCAAAACAGTTTACATTTTTATAATAATGTTTAACATACTGTGTCATATTTTTAAGACATGCATTTACTACATTCAACAGATACGAAAAGAAAAAAACATCCTGCCGATTAGTGTTTAAAAATTTGAGCAACCTTGAGACTAAAATTTGCAAAGATTGGGAAGGCTGAATTCTGGATTTAATTCAGGCCAAAAATACAGAAAGCATTAGGTTTTCAAGACTTCAGTGGTATTTTTGAAATGGTGCACTAAATTTAAGGACGTAAGGGACATACCAAGTTTCACTTCAATCTCTTTGAGCTGCTTCTCCTGTGACAGAAGCTCTTTTTTTTTCTTTTCCATCTCAGGAGATTCGAGGTACTGCATATGATTCTTAAGCTCATCTGTCACCTCTGTGAGCTTGAGCATGGCAGTGCGATACTGCTGAAGAAGACCTGCAAGGAAACAGGCGTTCGACATGTAGGCAAGGCAATACTAAAATTGTTTTCTTCTCATGTATATCTTTACCAATGCCCAAAAGTGAAAATCAATCCTCTCCCTCTCCTAATGCATCCCACAGAATAACACTAAAAATCAAAATCAAGAAGTGAAGGATGATCATGAGTTTAATACCGCTTTCAGAGCAGGAGCTGCCATTTCCCAAGATTCTAAAGTAGGTCCAGCAGGATGAAGATTCAAATGCCAGTTGTGACTCTCTGCACAAAGTACTTGCCTGAAATTTCATTAGTTAAATGCCTAGCAGTAAAACCTGTTTCAAATATATGTTGCTCTGGAAAAAAAACAGTTTGCTAAAGAAATGTATAATAATACTGATGGATGAACAAATTACATTTTTGGGGAACAGGGGATCGGAAAGATGGATTAACAATAATACTATTTTACCTTGGCAAGACAATTTGTGAAATAACTGTCAACACAAAGAAGTGGCTGAACATATTGGAAAATGAGTTTCTCTCCCTGAAGCATGGGATTATGCAAAGCAGTATTTAGCATTAGGTGCACATAAATGCTGTAATCAGCATGTAGTGTGCAGACATACTGTGAATTATATTTGCACTTAAATCACAAGCACTTTGAGGGGTTCAGATCATACAGGTACGTGTTAGAAGTGCAGGTTTTGCAAGTTGCCTTTCTGAAAAATTTGTAGGCATTTAGGCATTGTAGGTAAACAGATATTAAGATATTTCTGACAGTGTTAAGATTGGGCTCTTTCTCAAGTAACTTTGATGTTAATAGAAGAAAAAAATGCTAGTCATCTATGACAGATGATGAAAAGATTGGATGACATTGATATTTTTCTGTCCAGATAAAGCACACTGAGTTTGGCAACTGTAGTTTAAAATCTCTATGAACATACAATGCCATTAATACTCCCCTGTGAGCAATGAACATTCACTGTACAATGCAGTCCTTGCCACTCAAAAGGATAAGGACAAAATGCATTCCATGCGATACTGCAAGAGGTGTTTTCTTTGTTTTCTTTAAGACAATGAGCAATACCTTGCCCTATAGTACCATATAGGTTAATAAGAGAATCTTAGTAATAGAGTGTGCAGTGAAGGCATAGGTCTTGAATCCTTACCATCAATAAGTAAAAGAAAATAGATTGCAATTTAGACCAGTACCCATTAGGAAGAGGGAAAGTAAGTATCCAGCGATAAACACTGATGTATGGGAGCATATTTATTTAATTATAGAAATACATCCTTGACTAAATTTATATACTTATCTATTCAAATCGGTCTTATTTTTTATGAATACACAAATTAGTTCATACCAGTGTGCTTACGCAATGATACAAGAATAGATTCCATTCCAAGCTTTTTTAAACTTACAGGTGAATTTATAGAAAGAAGTATAACTTTCAAAGTACTTCTAGATATAGGCAACTGAAGGAAACGGATGTCAAACGGTTCTACTATTTGTTCTACTAACCTATTTGTTCATTCATGGTATGGTAAGACTGTGGCAAAGGTTCTCCAAAAATCATTCCTCGTAACCTCTCAATAGCAGGCGCCTTGTTCTGTAGGCCACCAAACTTCCCATTGCTGCGGATACGATCCCCTTGTCTGGTCAATAATGTTGGACAATGTGTAATTTTAACAACCTGAAAAAAAACAACCCACACTGTAGTCCATACATGTATTTATCCTTAAGTTTCTTTTAGTTAGGCTGCAGCTTTTAAACGTTTAGAACATGTAACTAGAAAGACAAAGGTAATAAACTACTAAAGACCGCACTCCAATCCTGTCTGAATCCAGTATTTCTGTTCCCACTGCTTCTGGCATACATTCAATGTACAAATTTAACACTACAGAATTAAGGTATTACAGTGGGTGCGTGTTTTACGCGAATGTGAAATACGCGTTTTTAAAAATAATGCCATATGCCCTTAAGTATATTTTTGTTTAAATTATGTAGCGCGAGTCAAAATAACGCGTGCCACATGGCGCGTGTGTCGCGTTGGGAGCGCTGGTGCACTGTGATGCTGTTTTACAGTAAACATAACTGATGCTCGCTAATATTTTATGTATACATGTCTGTGTAAACTGTTTTTATCTTATACGTGCTACAAGTTGATGCATTGAAGATATTTAGTGCATGGCACGTGACGTCCCATCATTCGCATCTACAGGGTCAAACTTGCATACGGAACGCAACTATAGCATTTACCATTATTCTAAATAGGAAAAAATTGTTGAAATTACATGAAATTTACACGACGCACGGGTTTCCAGAACACAACCTTCACACAAATTAAGAACCCTCTGTACTCCTAAAAAGTGTTTGATAAAGTTTATTCCATAAAATTAATAGGATATCTACTTTTTGAGTTTGTTCTAACTATAGTGTTATGGTCAATGCATTTTGTCTAACCATTAAACCTTTTGCCATGTTTACTAAATCACTTAAATGCTTTATAACTAACTAACATCTGAAACAGGTTTGCATTTCTGCGAAACACGCTAGCTTTGTCGAGTGGCTGGGATATTGCTGATTTATGGACATTCCTCCTTTTCTTTTACCTTTTCTAAGGTAATTTTGTGCACCTAAATTATTTTAGATTTGTCATAGCAAAGAATTTGAATACTTATGCAATCTTATTTCTCTTTCATATTATTTATTAACTCCTTTATGGTTTTTTATTCCCCCAATGTGGAGCTAGGTGCGTATATTACAAATATGGATTGCTACTTCAAACTGTCGTGACTGCAAGCTTTAAAGCAACAATGCTGAAACAAGGGTTTGAATATCATTGTAAGGCACCGCAAAATCCTACAACCAAAAATAATTTAAGATTATTTACTTGAATTTTCTTGCTGAACAACTTTTAATCGGATTTTTAAAACAACAGTATTTTATTGCACTCTGTACACAATTTTAAACAGTTTAGGTATACTAAACTACTATTTTTTACAAAGCATCCAGTATAATGTCTTAGGGAGTACAGCCTATTACAGCTTATCGGGTAACTCCTAAAGTGTTTCTGTACCTCATTTTGTTATCCTTATGATACAGAATCAGAAGGATCATTCATTCAATTTGCAGATTACAGAGCAAAGCCAGAACCACTATTTTGGACAGTAGGTCCTTTCACAGACGAGAGGCGGAAAAAGTTTTTAAAAAATCAGTTTACCCACCTCCTTCCTATAGTGGTTTGCAGCATCTAAGTTGTCAAGAAGAATAGTGTCTCCCAGGAGCATTCCAAAGACTGAAAACAATAGCAAGGATCAGGCAAATAATAAAGCACCCACAACAACGGGGAAAAAAGCCACACACACGCACATCACATACATACAAGTCTGCCAGAACAAAAACAAACAACAATCAACATTTATCATTAAAATAACCCTTGCATTATAATTAAAACATACCTAAAGTATATAATTCAAGTCAAAGCAATAGTGGAAGGAAGCCAGTTTGTTGTGCAGCAAAGAAATATTTCGTGAGAAACTTATAAACCTTGACTAGACCATTGCCTACGCTGGAACTATACACTACTGGCAGCTCTCTGCTTTTCATGGACATTTTCAAGCATTTAAAATCACCAGAAAAAAAGTAAATGGAAATCTGGTACAAAGAAATATTCAGCTGAATTTTAAATTTAAATCACAACTGAAGGTATTGAATTAAGATTTATTTTTTATTTTCCAAATTCAAGGTTTAATGCATTTCCCTCCTTACTCCATGCCACCCTTCTGTTTTACAGCGGTAATTATTACACTAGTAACCGTTTCCTGCACTCCTATGCAGTGGAGTAAAAAGACCTGGGAAAGACTTGAATCTAAACAACTGTGAAAAGGTAACAATGCTCAGCTTAGACAACCTGAATAAATGCAGTCCATTTCACATAACACAGTAGTTGGTGAAGAAAGGACAGGAAAATGGCAGCAAGGAAAGGTTTGTATTATCATACTATTACTAGGGATGAAAAACCCAAGCAACAACTTAAAACACAGGTTCTCAGTCTGGTCCTGAGGGATCACTGTGTCTTTATTCTAGCTAGTACTAACTGGTGCCTGTAACTGATCTGCTTGCTTGTTTAGACTTTTGTCTTCATTCAGGAGTTGGTTTCAATACTAGCCCATTTAAAGTATTGTACCATTACTTTCAGGGTGGAGAACTTTATACATCAGCAAGTTCAATAATGATTTTCTGTTACTTTATCTAAATAGGTAATTGTTTTAAGATTAACAGTTGGATGAGAATGGCAGCATATCAAACACCACCACAATAAATCCAATAAGAATTACTATTGGACTAACACTGAATGAGAAATTACACTTAGTTAATAGCACAGGATTAATGCCAATTACAGACCTCAAATTTAAGACGCAAAAGAAAATAAAAAAATTGTGAACTTACCAATTTTACAATTCTGAACATGTTCAGGGAAGATCAGAAGATCTCGAGCAAACACTGGATTTCCTAAAGGTTCAAAGCAAGCCTTTCCATTTCTTAAATGAGGCAAGGGCCTGACACAAAAGGGAAAATATTAAAACTATTTTACATGGAGTTAGATCTGTGAGCATTTCAGTCAACATTTTAACATTCAGTCAGTATAAACTTTATACTTTCATTCAGCATTTATGGTATATTTATATTCTTCAGTTCAGTACAAATTAAGATGCTTGCTTTCATTAAAAGATATGGTATTATGATATATTTGATATGAAGCAGTTTTTTTTTTAATTCTGCCAAACCTGTTCCAGTCTGGGAGGTTCTTCTTATAGATGGAATCGAGAGGAAGAACTTGCTGTCTTCCCTGCGTGTCCTTATAAATCTGACGCGCTGCCTCTGTGGTCAGTGTGATCACACAGTCCATATCACTTGCCAGATGCCAAGAGATGACTTTTGCAGCTTCAGTGTCCTCTATTTGTGCCAAGTGAGCAATCTGTACGTTAAAAGTTAAATATTCAGGACATTTCATAACAATAAAATCAGGAGAGTTGCTTTTACTCTATCTTACTTTACCACCACCACCACGACTTTATGTCTAAATCAAATTCTAAGTAAAAGTCAACTTTATTGCCAATCCAATCAGGTTAGGATATTTTTGTGGTTTGCTTGGAATAAGAGATACAGAGAAAGACGGATACAAAAGAGAAAGAAAATCTTAAATAACACATCAAATACAAAATACAAAAAGATGCAGTGCTGAGCTGAAAGACCAAACAGCCTCAGGATAGTGCTCTTCCAGAACTACTCTGTTCTTGATTTGATACATCTTAACCTTTTTCCTGAGTGAAGAAGCTGGATGGGGGTGGTCACGGATAATCTTCAGAGTTTATCAATTTAAACATACATGTTGTGAATATGAAAGCGACAGCTGGTTAGTCACAGCCAATTATTTTAGAACCAATGTGGACTCTTATCCAGCTGTTTCCTCTCCTGAGAGGCTAGGTTCCCAAACTAGACCATCACAGAAAAAATAAAATGTGAAAGTAAAAGGCAGTAAAATGTAGCAGTTACTGAGGTAACGTTGTTACTAGAAACAACATTTGTACCATTAGCAAATGGGCTTTTGCTCACTAAATCCTTCTGCAAGCAGGCTTTCACCAAAGACTTAAAAAGCCTAAATATTTTTTTTTTACCAAAGGTGTGCATTGAGGAATGCAGTAACCTCAGAATGAAATGATACAACTCAATTAACTTGTACATTTCCTTTCAAACTTCAAAGTAGCTACCATTACCTAACAGACAGTTTGTAATAGTTGCTGCAAGTTAACTCACTGCACAACCAGGTTTCCATGGATTCTAGAGCTCTGGTCATCAGCTCAGATAAACTCTGTTCATGCCAGTGCCAATAGGCCAAGGCAGAGGTGCATGGCATAAGAAAATGCTGGTTGAGGTGCTCCAGCAAGAATCATGGAACCAAATTAAATTTGAGGGGCTGAGAGTCCATAATACTAGGACAATAACACCTGGAATACTAGACAGACATCTATACAACAGCATAGCTGAAGTCACGAAAGAGAACCTCGAGTCTGCAGTGTTCCTTGTGGGGCAAACTGTTACTTTAAGGGCAGAGGTAATTCAGTAATGCTGCACAGAGAGGTCTTTGAACATTTTACTGGGAACCACAGCAGATGAACAGCTGCCTAATGTCCCTCAGCCCTTAGATCTCTCTATCCAGACGGTTAGTATCCAACAGATTGAAAAAGAGAGCATTACAGAGATGGAACTGATCTGTTCATAGCACATGGAGATGACAATTAGGGCCAGTTAGGGATATACACTTCTTAAATAATTTAAAGGACTGGAGTGGAGACAACAAAGAGAAGAGCCTTAGCTGCTGTGAACTTCCAAGAGATCATCAGCGAGGCCTAGACGTTCAACCCGCAGCTATTCTTTTGACAGCAAGACTAGACCTTATCACATTGCCCCAGCACGTGTTGGAGACAACTACAGGTATACTGTAGGTAGATGGATGTCTCCAAGTCTGAGACATTTTATCAACATACATCTAAAAGAGCATTCTGCATGTCACAGTTCAGACTGCTGTTTACTAACAGGATAATAAACTAAACACCCAAATGTCACACAAAATTATTAGGCAATTACCAATGAGGTAAATCTGACATAAGAAAATAGATGAAATATGCCCATGCCAAAGTCTGTTGTACAGGATTTTGAAATTAGAATATAGAGGAAATAAAGTCAGAGGTAATGATACTTCAATTATATTACCAGTTTTGACTCAATACAATACTATATATTTTTTATTAAATATAGTGCATGACACTATATCGCTCTTTTGAATGCTCATTTCCTGCTTTGCCCAGCACCGTGCAGTCAGGGGAAAGTGCGCAGGCAGTGCACCGAGTTGGGATACTGTGCAGCATCGGTAGAGCAGGGAAACTGTACAGCACCATGCAGTCAGGCAACGCTGAGTTACTGTTACTAATGAACTTCAAATAAGAACATGACTTCTCAAACAATTTTAAAGGCTGACTGGTATGATGCCTAACCCCTAATCTGAGTGTCCCAGATGATTAACAGTTTTGGTGCCGATTTATTTGAATAGCTTTTATGCTGTGACAGATTAAAGGCATAAGCAATATCACAAAATATATAGTTTATGTCTCAAATGAGAGGACGTTTGCAATTATCTCATTAGAGGCATTCTACCAATGTCTAGACCATGTTTCAAGGGAATAACTGAAAAAAAAAACTGCAAGCATAAAGTTCTCATGTCAGTTTCCTTGGCAAATTAAAAATAAGAAATATTCAGCAATTCTTTAGAGATCTACTAAGCTGAAATTCAGAATGAACTACTGACAACTAGAAATACTCTGAAGTGGCTAAGAAGCATATTAAAGCACATCGTTAATGCCTTAAGTTCCTCTCAATGTCCCATTTCAGTATCTGTTAAGATCTAGATTTGCAAAAATGTCCACTTAATATCTTTAAATGTAAAAAGTATTATTTTTAAAAACATACATGTATATATTCTATTCTAGGAAGATTTAAAGGTAAAAGCCTTTTGGGCTGCTATAACCATCAGTCCCCAACCTTTCTGAGTGCATAGACACCTTTCAATTTCCAAACACTTCTTGGATTACCCCAGATGTTTTTATACTGTTACATATGGAAATAAGAAATAAGAGATAAGCCGCACTTAGTGAATTACTGTACATACCTTATACTGTGAAATTTGTATTCATTGTTTCATCAAATACATTTTAAAACAATTAATAAGTATATATACAGTACATATGCATATGTACAGTAAATATACTGCATAAATATAGTACATATTTGAGGGCGGTGCGGTGGCTCTGTAGCTAAGGATCCATGTCTGTGGCTGGAAGGTTGCCAGTTCATATCCCGCAACCAGCAGTGGAATCTACTCTGTTGGGCCACTGAGCAAGGCCCTCAAACCCAACTGCTCCAGGGGCGTCGTATAAATGGCTGACCCTGCGCTCTGACCCCAAGCTTATCTCCCTGTTTGTGGGTCTCATGGAGAACAAGTTGGGGTATGCAAGATTCCAAACACAAGAAATTGTATATGGCCAATAAAGTGATCTTATCTTATGCAGTATACAGCAGTATATGAACATATGTACTGTATATGGAGTAAGTTTACGAGATGGTTGGTGTTGTTTTGCCGAATTCAAAAATGGGATGCTAGATTGGAGTGAGGTCTTAAACCTGAATCAAACATGACATCAAACTTGATTTTCTATGGACCCTTAGCAATAGCTTTGTGGACTACAAACATTACTAAATGTCTTTTGGAATGTCCCTGAACACTGTACTGTACCAAGCACTATTTTTGGTATTTTTACAAATGTGACTGGAATCATGATTCTTCAGGAGGCATAAGAATTCAGTTATAGAAGATAAGGCTGGACAGAGGCTTATAGTAACTTTATGGATAGTGTCCTACTTGGGTATAAAAACATCTAAATTGCACTGATTTGTTGCAAATTCATACTGTGATCTAACATTAAATTAAAGCAAAAGCTAAAAATCATCATATGTCTTCTCTTAAATACTTTAAATTACACAATCCCATTGCTCAAAAAAACTTTATATCCCAATTTTTAAGAAAAATACTTCATGTTATGACAAGCAAAATTCTAACTGTCTACTGTAAGTCTGCAAAGGAAACTGATAATTTGTGAGAAAAAAAAAACAAAGCTACAACTTTTTGTCCTTCAAAAAGTGACAGCACCACATCATAAAAATGTTCTCTTGACCATAGCCAGGATCTCTCAAGCCCAGCCCTAATTATCACAATGTCCTTGACTTATTCTGCACTCACACTGGTTTGCACAAAGTGGCTATACTTATCTAAGAATTATACTTGTGATTATACAGATACCTTTCCCAGAACATCTGGGTTTCCTTTAGAAGTGTTAGGAAGCATACAAATTCTTCTAGGTTCCTTCAGGATCTTTTCACGCATTGTTGCCTTTTCTTTGATTGCAGCTTCTATTTGCTTAACCTACAAAAAATAGTTTAGGAGTTTAGGAGTTGTTGTTCTTTTTCCAGTCAAGAACAGCACATGAAATTTAGCTCAAAACATAAATATTTGTTGTAACATTACCAAAAAAAAATGTAGCCCCTCAGCCAGCACCTGACGTTATTTGCAGGTATAATAAATGGGGTGATTTACATCATCAACACAAGCAACTTCTAAAAAGTGAATACCAGGTGTCACACCTACACAGTTTAACAATTGAAAAAATCGAGTTATAACCCTTCATTCCATCCATTTTCCAACTGCTTCATCCAATTCAGGATTGTAGGGGAGCTGGGTTCTATCAAGCCAAAGGTGCAAGGCATGGCACGCCATGGACAGGATGCCAGTACGTTCCAGGGCACACACAGACATAAATATGCACACACTTACATCAGGGCTAGTTTTTACAGAAGCCAGTTAATCTACCATTTTACCTTTGGACTGTGGGAGGAAAGTGAAGCACACAGAGGACACATGGAGAACATACAAACTCAACACAGATGGCACCTCAGGAACTGAATCCAGGGTCCCAGCACTGTGAAGCAGCAATGCTAACCACTGCACTACCTTGCCACCCAACTAACCCTTAATTAAATCTGAAAAAGTATCATATAAAATGATATAACCGAAAAATACTCACGGTATTCAGTTGTGATACATCAACATTAATGTTTTTCAGCCGAGTCTTTAGTTGAGCCTCTTTGACGGATGCTTCTTGAGCTTGGCCTGTGAATACAAAAAATGGTATACTGTAGGTGTGTTTTATCATTTTTGAAAATGTGCCCAAAATAAATTAGTAATTACTTTCATCGAAGCAGACATCGCAACACTCACCAGTCTGTGTAAAACACTTTTAAGTCTCAGAGGGCAGCTGTAACTCCCAATGCATTTGACTGTTTCTGCTATACAACGTAAAACATTTTTACATTGGTAAATGCATCCCAATGACAAATTTGGTTTATTTAGTTTGTTCTCTCCACTGCACATGGAGATGTTTTTAGCAATGTGATCTCCAAAAATTTACTAATATCATACTGGCTGACAGAAATGATGCAAGGCAGCTAGCAGCCTCAATTATCAGATGAAGGGAGTTATTATACCAGGAAAACGATCTCCATGAATAAATAATTAAAATCACTAAAAAGGAAAAAAAAAAATGCTTCAGTAATAAAGAAAACTGACTGGAACAATCCATTCATTTTAAACATCAATGTTAATATCACTACCATGATATTAAGCCAAATGAATTCTCAAGGGACCCATTCAACAAAGAAAATATATAGCACAAATGTACTAAAGGAGTAATACCTTCAAAGAATTAAAATGGTTATTTAAAAATACAACACTACCCAAAAAACTCTACATCTCATATAGCCCTCACATGCCAGGGGTTTTTCCGGGCCTTCATGTCATTACTGATATTTTTACCACCCATCCATTTTCAATCTGCTTTATCCTATTTAGGCCTTGAGGGAGCTAGAGCCTACACCTACACCACAAGGCAGGGTACAACCTAGATGGGACGCCAGTCCATCGTAGAGGAGACAGACACAGACATGCAAGCACTCCCACCAGGGCCGTCTTTCCCTTTTGTCTCTGAAACCAGAAATCGGCGCACCCGGCAGAAACCCACGCAAACAGGGAGAGAACATACAAACTCTAAGCATTGATATTTTTACCAAAGGATATAATAAAAATACAAGAAAAAAATATTTTCAGAATGTACCAATACACTCAGTCCAAGCTTGCTCCAAGTACAGATTAACCATCCTCTGCCTTCACTTTTTCATTTTGGCAGAGGAGGGGGATTGATGGGAGGAGCTACGTTTGTCAGCATGGGCCAAGCCACGGTTCATTTTGTGAGGCCCAAGACTTCATTTTGATGAGCACAAATAGAAGCATTGTGTACAACTACAGCTGAGTATGCACCAGGTGGTTCCTTCACATCTGTATGCATGTCACAGACAGATATTCTGTTTTTATGCAGGTAAATTCAGAGGAATTAAAATAGTCAAGGACAAAGAGTGCTACGCATTATGAATCTGCTCTAATAGAAAAGGAACTAAGTGAGGAATTGGTGTATTCCACCAATAGATGCACAGTGGCCAATGACTCTTAATAAAAGCTTTACCACCAGAAATAAGGGCTCTCTCGTGAAGGACAATTTTCTCACAGAAAGACAGACTGCAAATACACACTTATGAAAAGCAATGAAAGGGAGGAAGCAGCCACTCAGTCTATTTTGCTAATTAAAGATTCTTGAGGCTTGTTGATTCACAGATCTACCAGCCACTTCCAGAGGATAAATTACTATCACATTCAACAGGAAATTGTTGGATTTGACCTGTGTCTTTATAAAGATAACTTACATTTCAGCTCAGAGACCAGCTGGTTGTTTGTGTCAAAAAGACTCTTGTAAGCTCCAATGGACTTGATAATCTGGTCTTTTTCACGTGTCAATGTTGCCATTTGCTGCTGTTTCCTACAGTCTACAGAACAGAGAAAAAAAGTCAGATGCTGCTAAATATACATTTGTATGTTAAAACAAACCCAGCAATATACTTACAGAGTTCACATAAATTGCCAAACCCTTTGCTCATTTTCTTAAATACGTACAGAATTTCTTTGCTGCTTCAGCCTATAGCAGGTGCCACGTACAAATACAATTATTACAACTCATTAAGGCTTCTGTATCAAAATCTACATCTGAAGTGCTGCTCACCATTTGAAAACATAAAAGGAAGTTTGAATGGTTTCAGACTGTTTTCTTCTACAAAGCCAGGAATAACTGGATTAAAGATCAGAATGTATTCAGTTCCATCTGTGCCAGGGCTGTTTTCTGCAATAACAAGGTTCTGAAACACAAGAACAAATGGGCAGCTCACCATGTAGCATAGATTATTAATTCATAACATTATTTCAGACCCAGAATTGGAAGTTAACTATTTTTTAAAGAAAAAGAAAAACACCAGGTCTGGATAAAAGTTAAAAATATATAACTAAAATATCCAAATGTCTTGTTCGATTCCTCGTGCTATCTACCCATATATTTAACAAAAGCTACTAAAAATACATTTGCATAGAACTTAAAACGTATGTACATAGCATTTTAAAGCACCATTAAAACAACTTTAATCATGTTAGATTAAAGGCTGGTGTAAAACGCTGTGTAAAAGTTCTGAGTTTAAAGGCAACAATGCACTTTACAATAAATACGAGATGTTGGCTTCAGCAGTACTTAATGCTAAAGAACCAATGTGCTTTTCATAAAGGTTTCATTTTTACTCGCCCTTAAATATAACTTTTTAAATATTTTTTTTCTTCAGATTTAATCAGGCGAAATATTTTGGTCAGGAAAGCAGCACAAGCAACTAAGTACTTACCGTAATCTCAGCACAGCCTTTAGTGAGGTTAAACTGCACCCTTGGGACTTTCCCTTGGAACAGAGGGATCTCAGTATCGGGTTCATTGGGACTCTCAATGGAAACAACAAGTTTGCCATTCAGATCTGCACCAGTGGGGTTGTCATATTCATCCTGAAATTAATCAAATATGTAAGAAGACTCCAATCTCTTCTCACTTTTCACAGTTTCCAGAAAAGATGTCCTGGTGTACAATGATATAAAACAAAGACAACGTGGTAATGAAAGATCGGACTAAAGAACTGCAAGATGCTGATGATTCGGAAATAACTCTATGATAAGACTTTGGTTGATCTAATCTGCTTTAAAATAAGTTAGAGAAACACAAATGATGTGAAAGAAAAGGAACAAATATTTATAGTATCGAACACTGTATTGAGTATCGAGTCACTACAGATGCTCAGACAGATCAAGGACAAGACTGTACACTGTTCTACAGACTTTTCTTTACAGCACACAGATAAAAAGTTTGAGACACTGCCACATCTAACTATGGTTCTCTCAAAGGTACTGTAGTACTTAACTGAAATCAACTGTAATTACAGTAACTATTAAGAACAAAAAGTGACAGACCATCACTTTGTCTTGCGAGGTACAGTGGATAACCTCTATATGTCTTCTTTGGGCACCGTAATTAGACCATAAGCATATAGAGGGTGCATTTTTAAATTATTTTATTTAAATGTTTTAAATGCAACTGTCACAACATTCGTAACAGTAAAAAAAAAACATAAATGTCTCAAATAGCTACTGCATTGTATATACAAGGCAATAATAGGAATGATATTAATTTTAATTAATTTTACCGATTAAATTGAAACCAAAAATTCTTGTTAAGAAGATCACTTTTTTATCACGGACACGGTATAACATGTTCCACCACATTTAGGACCACTGTTATTCTGTTTCAGAGAAGAACAAATGTCACGGGTTTTTATCTGGAGTTCAGATTACATAGATATTTGAAAATAATAGTGGAGAAAGAAAAAAAGCTATGCCTGCTTGCCCCACTAGTTAAGATGAAATGCAGTAAAACAAAAGCTAACTTGTATAAAGTCTTCTAAAGACCAATCTGGAAAAGCAAGAGTTTCAAGAACACTTTTAAATAGTTAAAGACACAAGCTCTTTCATGTTGTAGTGCATTCTACAACTTAGGTGTTTAGCTGCAGAAAGCCCTCACAATATGGGTCTTAGTTTCAGGTATACTCAAGGTTACAACTCTAGGTACAGTTATTTCTTCAACAGTCATGTCTATGTTTAGACTTCCAATGTCTTCAAAGAATATTCAATATTTTAAAGTTATAGGGAAGCAAACAAAGTATCCAGTTACCATGATTTTAAGACATAGGCTGTTAACCAAGGTCCGACTGGCAGTGGAACGGATATTAGAAACAACTGGAGTTGGAGGCAGTACATCTGGCAACAATTTCACTGGGTCGTTAGGCACTACATTTATGGAAATCTGAAAGCAAAACATTTCAATTAGCTCAGGGGATACTATCCTGATCTGCTTCAGAAATTACCATGAATTGTTTGACTTTAAAAAAGCCTGATGATTTCCTCTATTTTAAATAGTTGAGGTAAAATATTAAATGATAAAACCTTTTATTTTACCAGAAATACACTGACCTCAGATTATGATGAAAGATTGTAAATGTTATCTCAATTGCAATTGCACAGAACTCTGGGGGGTAAAATGAGTCAGTTTATAGAGAATGGCTGCACAGATTATAACATTAACAAAAGGAAACTGCTTGGGGAATATAATTAAAATGGAAAGAAAAAGAAAAAAAATCAAGGGTTTCCAAAGTTCTCTTTCAGTTTAGGAATGTACTGAAAATTATTTTAGATGTCAAGGGATTTGTATATCAATAGAACTTAAGCAATACTCGACAGAACTTAAGCAATACCCAAAATGTAATATTTAGAGCAGAACAAATATTCTTCCTTAGCAAATATGCATTTTGTAGTCACACCACTGTTAATCAAAAAGTTGACTTTTTATTTATTTTCAGCAAAAAGTGTCCTAGATCAAGAAGAGGATATATCTATTATATATTTCTATATAAACAGAAACTGGTCTTGACTCCCCCTAGAATTACATATAGAAACAAACAAACTGAAACAGTTTAACAGTCAAATAATCAAATTACTATAATACTTTTGACACAGTGGAACATTATTTTTGTTTTAAACTGATTTGTCACACACTTAAAAAAGTGAAGCATACCTGTTTGCTCCATAATACATTTGCCTTGTCCACCGTGAATGCAAACTGGATTGAGTACTCGCCCACATGATCAGGAATTATTTTGTCTCTGAGAAAAATAAATTATGAATAGCAAAAATTAATTTAATATCAAGCTTTTTAGAACGCTATGTTACTAACTGAAGCATTACACTACACATTAGTAACCACAGTTAAAATACAAATGCCGGGAAATAATCCTGCTATGAGGGCAACAGTTTTCCAAATTTGACCTGTTCACCTGTTTTAGCTTCTGTGAACTTTACTCTGGTCATTTATAAATTGTGTGAAAATAGGTTTCATATTTTTTCCAATAAGGCGTTTTGGTTAAGTGGAAATGTCCCATACTAAAAACAACAAAAATCTTGTCACTCTTGTCACAACAATCTTGTCAAATCTTGCTAATTTGCAACCCAAAAGTCTGTTGCTTGTACAGTAACAAATGAGCACAGACGATGCACACAAAAGAGCCTTTAGCTTGTAAAACCTGTAAATCTTATTATAAATCTTAAAGACCATACCCTGAACATGCACTTTTTTGTGTATTTGGCTTTTTTTAAAACAAAGACTGCCAGACTTCTGTGGGCTTTGTTTTCAGCCCAGCTCCCTCTTACAGAACATATGTGACAACTTAATTTTTCTAAAAGTTTTTTTCTTTTTGCTATTGCTTTCAAAGCAAATTTTAAAATAGGTGGTGGTCCTGTTCTGCAAATGGGGAGTTTGGTCTGTCAGTTGATTTTACTGTTCATTGTATGCATGGTACTTGACAACAAGATTATATCACTTACTTTTTATTAAGTTATAAATTGTGTCAAAGAAATTAAAAAGTTTGCCACCGCCAATCAAAACCAATTTAATTATGTTTGTTGACTTGAAACATTCTATCTGCTCCAGGCTAGAGTTGGATTGAAAAAAGGTCTGCAGACCTCTAGCTGGAGTGAAAGGCTAATTTCTAATGCGTCTTGCGAGTTTAAAGTGAAAATGAATAACAAACATTTTGATAATCTCTCCTACATTTTGCGTGAACACAGAAATGGTACTGGCTGAAAACCTGTCAGCACTGAAAGCCACATAAGAAATTGGCAATTTCAGTTTTATACAAAATAAAAAAGAAATCACCAAATAAAGTAAGGCAATTCAGAAAACTGTCTTGTTAGATCTATTAAGCTAAAAGTAGAAAACCAGATTTAAGAAACATGATCCATTGACAATATGAAAGTGAAAGCAATAAAACATAAAATCAAAAAGAAAATAAGGAGAGACTATTTTATTTCTGTTTTTTAATTAACAAAAAGTACTAATAACTAATTTCATTTACACAGTCAGCTTAGCGGGAATCATACTCACTATACCATGAAACAGATTTACCTGAAGTAAAAACAGCCTTCTTTTTTATTATCCTTTGGCTTGCTGCACATAAGTGTAGCTGCCTAAAAAACAATACAATTGTTTAAAACAATAATTGCCTTAAAAGTAACTTTTTATTTTCTGAACAGAAAAAAGAAAACAAGCACAAAGAAACACATACAGTAGGACTCTTCACAGAAAAATCAACAACCTACATTTTATATCTAATTTAAAGAGATGGTAAAAACACAAACAATACTGTAAATATTTAACATGTCTTACAATAATTACCTGTAATGAAAATACTAGGTGTCTGCATCTATTCATAATCTAGTGCATCAATGTAATAGCTTGTTTATAATAGTTTCAACACCTCTTTCATGTAATTTTCACATACAGATTTTTTTTCTGCCTCAGTATGTACAAGCTTATCTTTTAAAATGAAATTTCTACGTGCAATTCACATTAATAAAGACAGGATCAAGAGATCTCATCTAAGAATATGAATGATATTCATAAGGCTTAACACTACCAACCTTACCCAGGAGGATAAGTGAGAGTGAGAACTTCCCCTTGTCAAGCCAAGCATTAAAGGACAATTATTATTTACATAATACCACTGGAGACATGGTCTTACAAGGATAGATATCAAGAACTTTATTTTCCAACTTACGCTTTCTGGAGGCAGCATGCCTGGACCTTGTCCTTTCCACATATACATTAGCATCATAGCTGGATTTAAATTTCTCATGGGTTTGCCAACTTCTGACAGGACAGTCACAGTAAACACTATAGAGTTTATGAATGAGAAATTGAGCAAAGATGAGAGTTTTCTTTTGATGGATATCTGCAAAGATCACCGAGCACTTTTCTCTATTTTCTTGTGCTGCACCTTTTGAAAATGTATATCTTGGTGTCACAATTAACGACTTGATCACCTGGAGGAAAACAACTGCTGAACCGATTTATAAAATCCAGGCAGTAAAGGCTTCTGGTGGCTATCTACCTCTACTAGGTCGGATGCTACAGTATCTCTAATGACTGGATTACAGGACTTTTACTGGCTCCCACACAAATTAACTCCCGATTGTCATTCCACGCCAACTTGCCTACGTTCTTAACCTGGTCTCTGAAGAACACGAAGATTCACCAGGCATATGATATCAGTCACAGTCTGGACAAAACCAAATGAACAGAAAGGCAGTAGGAATGAAGGCAGCATTTATTGCTTCTCTTCTCTGTGGTCCTGCTGCTCTCACCCAATGTCTTTTGGGTTTTGTTTCACCTGATTTCTCAGGTACCAAAATATTAATTGAAATAATTTGTAACCTTGAAATTAATGAGTCCTAAAACGTTGATGTTGGGTTGTTTAGAAAATTCTACAACAAAAAGATTGAAAACTAATTTTTCTAAGCAAATAAGTCTGGGTTAGATGATTCTTAACTTTTAATACTATACTACAGAGTTAATGTATAATATATTAAACAGCAGTCCAGTGTGTCCCTGTACACAACCAGGGAGGAAGCCTGTGCTGCCTGATAAGTGCACTTAAGGTACTTACACAGTACAAATAATGATTACTCTCAAGAAAGGAGTTTCTTTTTTCCAAATTATGGAAACAGTTTTAATGTACAGTCCTTCCTATTAATGCAACTCCACCCACCAAATATGACTCACTAGTAATAAAGCATTTTAAAATGAATTTTACTGTCAAAAGAAAGTCTGGAAAATACTGCCCTGGTTGGCAAGACATTTTGGGATGAAAGAGTATTATGAGGAGAAATGTTCCAACCAGTAGTACAGTACTTTAAAGTTATTAATTGGGCCTCATGCTTTTGAAATGTATGTAAACGCTGAAGAGAAAAATAGTAAAATGTTACCATTTACCAGTTACTTAACAAAATTAGCAATGAATGTAATGTACTATACTTGGGACAGAAAACATAGAACAAGAGGTATCAGTACCTGTTAAAAAGCCTCCTGCAGGAAAAACTGCATTTTTATTAAAGTCTACCAAAATCTCAACAGGCTTGTTAGGATCCGGAAGGACATTCAGCTTCACTACTGGACCTTCTAAAGTGGTTTTATTGAATTTGCCCTTAAATTGAATGTTGTACACTCCCCTGAAAAGAGAAAAACAAACATTAACTTAAGCAATTAGTACATTTTATGCACAAATTAAGAAAAATATCTAGGTTGTTAAAACAGAATATTGAACTGAAATGTAAAATGGGCACAGCAAATGAAACCACAGGTATCCAATGAAAGGAAACAACAATCCACCCAAATATTTTACATAACTGCAGTTCCTTCTAATTAATGTTGCATGGATGCACACATTACTTTCACTGCCTACCCTGCTATTTTAAGTGGTCTCCAACGAGGAGCAAAATATTCTAGTTAATATTCGATTACAAACAATATATTAGTATTAGGTCTGTAAAACAGTACTGTACTTACTTCAGTGCAGAAACCCGACACACTGGAAAAGTTGCTGTACCATTCTTGTCAACATGTAGTGCCTGTGGCATAGGTGTCATCTAAACAGAGCAAAAAACTCTTACCCATGTTTCTTTTTAGATAATGGTCCAGGTAACAATGCTTTTAATTTCGTAAAAATATTTTAATCATTCCTAAAATTATTTTTTGCACTGAATTATCAATGTTTCTACCAGTGTTCTTAAGACTGGCGTTTTTTTTTACCAACCTGTAAGGCAGCATCTTTTATAAGTGCTATTCTGACTTGTGGGTCAGATGTTAGGTTTCCCCACTGATCACACAACTGTACAACAAATGGCTTCTCTAGTTCTTTCCCATTAAACACAGTCAGGGTCTGTAGGAAGAAAAAAAATCAATATTTTGTAATCTGTTTATTTTAACATTGCAATTTCTCTTCAAAGCCATTGGCTACACACCAACCAATAATAAAAATCAGTATAAGTTAACTTTTCCTTTTTAAAGAAAAGTGCTTTCTGATGTATAAATCTAGCAATTAATCTTATCTATTTAGTGATCATTATTTCCAAGAGGTACACTGGTTGCTCTTATTCACTCGCCTGTGAAATTTGCTCCATTACAAGTCAAATAGGACGAGGTCTGAAAACCGGCAAGCTCACTTTCTGATATATGTAATTTAAATGTATGGCGACAGTGTTGCAGGTTATGACTATTTGGAAAATTAAACTATCTACATATTGCATTTCTGATTATGCTATTTCCTTAAATTAAATATTTAAGGATTTTGTTTTCAATAATCCCACCTAACTGTATTCAAGGTAAAGAAAAATAATGGAATGAAGAAGAAAAAGGAAAACATTACATTGTCTAACTGTAGCCCTTCAAGTTTCAGCTGTGCTGGGGGTCCAGCAGTCAAGTTAATCCGAATGTATTCTACAAAGTCTCGCCAAGCAAAACATAGCTCTCTTTGTCCAGGGGCACCAGGAACAAATTTTATTCCCTGGACTACAACTCCTTCCACGTTTTCCTAGGTCCATGAAAAAGAGAGACAAAATAATCAGCACTCATGACAGTATTTTATAATGCAAATCACAATAATATTTAACAACAGCACTTGCTGATAAAGGATATTTATATAAAGCACAATTTGTGTGCTTTGAAAATTGTATTTCTATTAAAGTCTCCAAACACAAAAAGCATGAGAAAAAAAGAACAAGCAGATGTCGAATAAAATTATGGAACATCTAACAAGATATTCCATGCTTTACCTGCCAGGTAATTTTTAAGTTGGACTTGTCAAGCCCCTCTGAAGAAACACCAATTGAACCCACAGTGGATGATGTCCATGTGTTTGTTTTATTCCCATACTGATCTGTAACTTCCAAATCTGAAGAAAACAAGGAAACCCCATCACTTATTCCTATTAAAACGTTCAAACCTCACAAATACCTGGTTTACTTACGATCAAATTATTATATTTGTTGGGATAAGCAATGCAAGAAAATTTGAAAAACAGTTGAAAACTAATGGGCAAGAGGTGGAAGTACAGTATGTCTTCAACATTCCTACAGGGTTTTAACACATTTACTTACGAATCTCTCCATTCAGCTCTTCACCCATCTGTACTGAGCACACACCCTTCAGTGTAGCTTTTATACGCTTTGGCTCATCTGGAAGAGGCCTAACAAAAAAGAGAAAAAGGTTAAAAACATAGAATGCAGATGTTTCTCAGCATAAGTTCACATTCTAGTGCTGACTCATCCAATAAGTCAAATAGAGAAAGACAAAGTGCTCAATTGCTCCATTGTAAGCAACACTATCAGTTAAATCTCTAAAGACCTTCCATACAGCTGTGGATAAATAATGGCATCCTACAACTGAAAATATGTATTAACTTAAACAGCTATGATGCAACTATTTAAGGTTATTAAATAAAGTGGAAATTATGATATTCTAGAAAAGTAATTTAAGATTAGTCAAGCTGTGGACTTGAAGATAGAACTGTTTCAATTAAATGTATCTTTCCATATACAGCACTAAAACGTAATCCTAACGATCACTGGTACACATTTTTAAAGTCGGTATGTTCTCTTCTTTTGGCAATATTTCACCTACACCTAATATTAACAGTGTGCTATGTCTGGCAATATATGTAAAGTTCCATAATACAGTGTACTTCAAACAATTTACGGCCAGTTTACTTAGATTGAATATCTAAACATCTACTACTTGTAACTGGTTAGTGAGAGCTGATAGGAGAGCAATGCGCTTTGCAAACGTAAAAAGGGTTTTGTACAGAGCCTAGAAAATCATAAATGCACATTCTTCCAGATGAGCAATACACCCTTCACATGAAATGGCTTTGTGAAAAGATAAAAGAAAATATAAGTGAGAAGACAGACAAACATTTTTATGTGCAAGTAAACCACACACTTACTACAAGCATTACAGACAGCTCAAAATATGCGCGAGACAATCAACGAAACATTTTTAAGTGCGAGTAAAGTACTGTATGCACTCGGCACCATAATAACAGCATAACAGAGATTAAGAAAACACTTTGATAAAATAGACAAATGCATTTTCATGTGCGGGTTAAATCATGTACTTTACTAATATGGAACAGCATTATTAGAGAGGTAAAGAAACATGTGTGTGATTACAAAACACACATTCACGTGGAAAAGTCAAGACAGGTCCAGGTACAGAGAACGCAGCCTGCAGCGCCAGCTCATTAGCTATCAGAACATAAAAAGGGAGTAAAAACAGACAAAAAAAAGGAGTATGGTCGGATCCAAGGAGAACCCAAGAGGAAAAACCAGTAGCCAGCTATCTGGCACTGGCTAGCCAATATGAAAATCTACTTGCCTCTCCGTTACAAAAACAGACTGTTTTAAATATAGGCAATTCCTTGGGTTGTCTACTCTGCGTAGGCAGGGTTTGAGGCAATATATAGGGTAGAGAGGGAGGCTGGCATCCTTCAACTGAGCTCTGTAGGGTTGAGAGCTATGGTAGACAGCAGCCTTTAGTCGGAAGCTGCCAAGTTAGATCCTGGAATTATACAGTATGAAGAAGCTGTCTTGTAAGGTAAAAGAGACAGCAGCTGGCCTATCATGTTTGGGTTAGGTACTAGATAACATCAGGAGGAGTAATAGCAGTTAAGCAGTAGCAGACGCAGATGCAGTGGTGTCAGGTCCACTGGTGAGGTAAAGCAGATGGTAGAGCGGACTTGGGAAAATGGGATCAAACAAGATGACAGACGGGGGTTCTTTCTTTCTTGCACACTGCAAGCCATAGCTTAACAACGCTGGGTTATAAATACTGAAGGGGATTTATTTACCCTGAAAGGGACAAACTAACAGGATTGGTTATCAGAAATAAAAACAGTTATAAATCCTGGATGGGATTTAACAGATTCCTCAGTAGGAGAGTAACAAGATCAAGGTTCTCTGGCAGGCAGGTAAAACCAAAGTTGCAAACTTCATAGAGAGTTTGCAGGGAGTGAAATAAAAGATAGGTCTCCTGTATTACGCTCAAGGTGGAGAGACACTGGAAAGAAGATCCAGGAGGATGGACTAAAGTAGCATAGTAAAGAAATGGGGGAGTAGTAAAGGTGAGTTCTACCCAGAACTCTGAATGCCTTATTCGACACATCTGCTTGTACTACAGTAAATACTAAGTAAGTAAAGGAAAAACAGCTACTTAAGTGGATCCATCTTCGAGCCAACAGATAAGTGCTAAACTGACTGTGGAATACATGCGCAAGATCGTGAATGAAAAAGGTTTTCAAGATAAAGGTCAAGCTAAGCTCCAGGGTTAAGCTCCAAGGAGGGGAAACGATAACCAACCGCTCTCAGAGAAGATTATGCACAGTAACATCTGGCAGGTTCTCTCTTCCTTACTGTATATACATTCCCTCAAGTTAGGGGAAGCTGTGTATCCAGTGTTGGGAGTGAACGAGCTCTGGGAAAAGGCTATAGACTTGAAGGTATAGTCTCACCAGAGCTGTGTAGCTACAGGACCATGAAACCCACCCAAAGGTCAGCCAAAATGCAACAGATCTACAAAGTCATATCAGACAGCTACAAACCTCTGAGCACACGGTACAGAGGACTGCTTTTGGCTCACAGGCAAGCAAAAAAAATATAAAAAAATCTTACTACAGAAGTTTTCTTATATACAGTTAGTATAGAAGGTATTGAACCCCCTTGGACCTTTACCATGTTTTGCAGTGTTAAAACATCAAACTACAACATATTTGAACAGGACTTTTTTGCATGATTAATTAAGCATACTTAACATTTGGATGGGGCATAATTATTTTACTGTAAAAGAAACTTTTATGAAAAACAGAAAACAGAAAAATCCAGCTTGGACTAGAATTCACCCCCCTGAGACTTTAAGCATTTAATATTTAGTTGCTCCTCTTCGGCAGCAGTTACAGCCCAAGACTTTTTACATCTTGTGGGTTTAATTTTCACCCACTCTGCTCCAGCTGTTGTAGGTTACTGGGGGAGCAGTAGTTTACAGCAATATTCAGTTCCTGCCACAGATTTTCTATGGGATTGAAGTCTGGATGTTGACTGTTCCACTCAAGGTCTTCCACTTTCTGCTTTTTAAGCCAGTCAGGGGTTGCTCTGCTTTGGGTTGGGTCATTGTCCTGATGAAAAATAGGTCTTTGGCCCAGTTTTAAATCTTTTGCAGACTATTACAGGTTTTGCTCCAGGATCTGCCTATATTTTCCTCCATCCATTCTGCCTTCAATTTTGACAAGCCTACCAGTCCCTGCTGATGAAAAGCAACCCCGCAACAACATTATGCTGCCAGCATGCTTCAATATGAGTATGGTGTTTTGTGAGTGATGAGCAGTGTCCTTCTTCCACCAGCCATAAAACTTGATATTAAGGCCAAATTTGTCTCATAACACCACAAAGTCATTGTTTTTTCCCCGACAGAGGATCCTACTGTACATACCTTTTTGTGTATTCGAGACAGGACTTTGTGTGAACTTTTTTCAAATTTGTGAAGCACTTGAGCCGTTTTCAACTTATTCATAGTTTCTCCCAATCATGAGACATTGTAAGTCTCAGGGAGTGGTTTTGGGCCTCAAGACTGCTTCTTTGACCAATGTTTTGGAGTTTTGGAGGTAGACCCAATAGTTGAAGATTCAGAGTAGTTTTATATGCCCTCCACTTCCTGATAATTGATTCACTGTGCTCGGTGAGATACTCAGTACTTCTTAAACCTTTTTATATCCTTCGCCTGACTTGTGACTGTCCACAGGTCTGTTCTTTAGTTGTTGAGTAAGCTCCTTTGCTCTCATATTGCTTTGTATGCAATGTCCAATCGTGGAAACTCACACAGACATGTATTTAACCTTACAAAAACAGATGTGCCCAATCCGAAAGCTTAAACACTTTCAATGCAATGTTTCCAGTCAACATATTTTGCAAATTCTGAAGGCAACTAGTAGCTCATTAAGGAGTTTTAATGCTAAGGGGGTGAATACTTTTCCAACAAAGATTTTTAGAGTTATTAATTTTAACTATTTTTAGCTCCAAAATTTTAACACATTGATATAGTAGAGGATGTTGTATGGACCAAAAGAGAAAATATGTAAGCCCATCAATTTTTGGGTTGTAACACAAAAATACTCAATACTTTCTACACCCACTGTACAAACACACAAACTAAATCCTTAACCAAGGTAAGAAAACAACACTCACTTTACCAGAAAAGGCTCTAATACACCAACACTAGGTGGTTACATAAATGCTGTTAGAATACTAACAGCAATCTAATAAGGTTCAATATGAAAATATAAAATTAAACAGGTTTCCTTTGTTTCTAAATAATAAAACTGATTACAGCCTATTGTACCATAACAAACATGAAAGCTCTTTGCATAAGCGCCTGCAATACACATGGTAGTATTTAAAGCTTTTCATGATCATGTTTTGTCTTATGAAAAAGCATTTATGCAATTAATTTCTCAATGAAAAACTACGTGGGACCAACGTATTCATGAATGAAAGAATATTATCATTAATAAACGTACTTGACAGTAAAAGAACTTTCCAGAGACACATGCTCATCCTGAAATGACACCTGGCAGTACCGCAGCTCTTTCACAGAATTAGGCACTTTCACATCTGGTAGAATTCCTTGGACCAGATCTTCCCTCTTCACCTTAGGTGTCCAGTTAACCTACAATATCACAATGTTGCCAAGTAGAACAAGGGCACAGTTAAAAGATGACATTTGCACTCCTCAATCAAGACACTCATTGATTCCCCCCTCCAAAAGCAGAGCAATTAATGATATCATCTTCTTGCACATAAATTTTCCTGTACTTCTACGGTTATAAAAACTTGGGATTACTTTTCAAAAAAGCAAACCAAAACATCACCCGAGTCTCTCATCAGGCCTCTAAAGTAGACATCAGTGCAACTGAGAAAGAATTTCATGTTCTCTGCCAACCTTAATATTTTGTGCTAGAGCAGCAGTGATGGAGATTTCCCGGTTTCCTTCATCATACATTCTGAAGATGAGATTTTGCAGAGTGTCCCCTGCAGTCCAACTGATGTCATCCTGCTGTTTTAGCTGGGTTGCCCTCTCACCATCCAGACTGAAGATTTCTAATCTGGCCACACGTGTACTCGGGATGAGCTTCAGCGTCTTTTCTACTGCTTCAATGTTTTTGCAGCTCTATTAAAAGAAAAAGTTTTTTTTTTTACATCGTCTCCGAGAATATTAATGCCCGTGTCATTTTTAAAATATTGCTCTGAAGAGATGTTCATAAATATCCCTCCAAAAGAAAGGACATTCTCATTAAAATTCAGTATTTTTCAATGATGAAATGCAACAAAAAAATAGTTTTTTTTATTTCAGTAAATATTATTTGTAAAGGTAATTATACTGCAAAATAAAACAGAAAAAACAAGGGTGTAAACACATTTCATAAGTACTTACTGGTATTTCAATTTTTGCCTTTATGGTCTGATCCTTCTTGATGTTCTTTACATGCAAAGCTGGGCCTGTTAATACTCCTATGCCGGTGTGGCTACAGTCTACTGTATAAACTGGCAAGTTTGGAACACCCAAGAACTGTGTAGACACAAAAATGACATTGTAATAAAATACGAAACACAGGTATTAGATAAATTCAGTAACAACAGATTCTAGCTACCAATTTAAAAAACAAGATTCATTGTGAGCATTTTTGTATTCAACACAGTAACCTGAACATCTGAGTAGCTTCAGCAAATGAAGATTCAAAATTTTAATCTTCCAATGGATTTGATTAAACAGTGTATAAAACATTACCATATAAAACATATACTAGTGAAACATCCTCTGCAAATGATCTCCAGATGTCAGAGGCCTGTTACTTCAAGCTATGCTTGCTCAAGATTATTTGCGTGCCAGTTTTGTGATGCTTTACATCTTAGAGTAAGAAATCATGTTATTCCTAAAGATGAAAAACTATAACGATAAACATGTGATGCAAGAGTGAAGGCCCAATATATTATGAAAACTTCCAATTAAGACTTTTAATTTTCTTTAAATTATATATATTAAATGCTCTTTTTAATACATATAATTAAGAATCTAACTGTTTACACCATCAAATCAGAAACACATCGGTACCAAATCTCTGAATTCAGTTAATTTACATTACTTGATAGAATCAAGCAGTGTTCAGTAATTGTCCAAATTTATTACAGATAACTTTTCTTGCAGAATAAGGTATTTTATAGGAACAGTTTATTTAGCAGTAGAAAGGGCATCTGACTAAATGGATGTTGAGAGAAAAGCATACTGTTACTATGAGGAAGGAAAAGGCTTTCATGCAAGTTGAAAAAAACTATATCCTTTGCTGTTTAAAAGAAAAAGCTGGATGAGATTGTTAAATTAATTACTCATACCAACTAACCAAAGAGGCTAGATGAACTGAATGGTCTTCTCTTGTTTAAAATCTCTCTTATGTTACTTATAAAATCACTGCAGTTTTACTACCCTACATTTTACTTGCTTTCTCATGTGATCAGAACTTCAGTTTCTATTATCATGTTTTCCATCACTTCAGAGCATCCTGGAACATAAGACTTATTCTAATTGTATCAACATCTACAGAAGTTTCAACAGATGTGCAAATTGAACATTTCGTATCAATGAAAATATTTTTCATAGCTTTAAAGCTTATTGTGTATTTTTAAACCATAAATCAAAATAATTGTACCTAATCTGGATTGTACAGATTTAAAAGTTTAAACATTTACGTTTCCTGCAACATGCCTATTTATATTAAACCAAATGAAATAAGTTCAGAGTCCTAAATGTCTCACATTAGGTTTTTGGAAAACTGCTTGCACATGAATTATTGACTAAAATGCTGACTGTATTTATGTCAGCAACTTGTAATTTTACCTTGCAATGGACTATCAATTTTGGCTGAGCTGTGATGTTCCCTGCATCATCAAGCACTTCCACATGGAAAGGAAAAGAGGCTCCATTTTCTACAACAAGCTTTTGGGAATCAGGTTTAACCTTCAGCGAATGTGGGGGACCTGGGAATAAACAAAAAAGTCTGAAAATTGATATATATATACACAACTGGATCAGTCAACATGCACATCTAGATATACAGTACTTGGGAGATACCTGCTGCTTTTGTAATATTATACTGAGCTGGCAATTGGAGTGTGGAAAACAACTTTTGGGTCCCCTTTGAAAAATGTTAGTTTGACAAGATTTCTGGTTCTGTACAAGGATATTGCCATGTAGTATTATCTACAATGTTACCAGGAAAATGCTGGCATTTATAGCTGCACAGCAGCTGGGTTACATTCATCTCAGGTAACAGACACTTTACAGGTCTCAAAACAGCATTTTTACTGTGGCCCATAAAAACAAGATATTTCCCCTCTTTTAAGATTAAAACCACCTGTAGGAATGCAGTAAATCTATAGTAACATTGTAAAAATTCATCCCAAAAACAGTTTACCTTCAAAAAATGAAGTATACTAATTTAAAAATAAATGTAAATTCACAAAAATTGTAACAAGCTTATATAACAGACAAAATGAATCACTGTAGGTGTTTAAAGGGAAAAAAAAAGGAATAACACTTTCCGGCAAAAACATACAGCCTCTGCAGGTGTGATAGTGATTAATGTATAGCAATAAAATCAAGGGTTCTAACTGAAAAGTCTGATCCAGCAATAGAAATAATACCACAATACCACAATAGTTATGATAATGATATATGCATTGGCTTTTAACTGACAGTTTGATCCTTCAGTTTGATCCTTCAATTTATTTGGCATTTATCCAGATTGTCTTACTTTTGTACCCATTAAAACAGCAGGGAATTTTAAGGAATAACCCAAATCCTTCCAGTTACAATCACAGACCTAACCACTACTCCACACTAGATAAGAAGCTTTTCTTTCCATTAGAAGCAGAAATTTAATTAGCCTATTGATACTTATGATAAAACAACTATTTATTGATAGTTGTGCATTAAGGCTTGACTGTATAGGATTGATTATATCTGAACAAAAACATATCCAACCAACACATTAATGACAGCACAGCTATCAGCAAATCTCATGCATCTTTCTCAATTTAGATGGCTAAATGTAAATGTACTTTTTGAGACTCTTACTAGCAAACTCATGGCAAAAGCCCTCCCTTCAACAGCAGGTGGAACCTTGAAGTGTAGACAATGTCAGTCTAGACTATGTACTTTGCCAGCAGTGACTTACAACTGGTTGAGTGCCATGAGTGCCTTTTGGGGAAACTTAGTCAATTTTCAGCACTGCCAATGAGAGCTGTAATACACAACTTATGCTAGACTCCGCACTACCTAGTGCAAAGTCTCAGTGGAAAGTATGGATACTCCCCTTCCCAACACTGTTATGAGTATTGTAGCTGTCACATTTTTTAAATAAAAAAAAAAATCAATGATCCTTCAATCCTTAAATAATTTGACTTTTTTTCCCCCATTGTTTCCAGTTCACAAATGAATGGCAGCTACACCACAACTCTTAATACCTTCCATCACCATATTATGGTACATTTTAGGCTAAACTTTATTCTACTTGGTTTTACTATTCAAAATCCTGGCATTAAATGCCTGCAGTCAGCAACAACAAAAATGAAATTCAAAAGGTTCCAGACACTGTGCAATTTACCAAAGTGCACAGTTCTCTGCCTTCATCTAGCCATGCTTAACAGCATGAAATGGTGCTGCTTTCATAAAAGTAGTTTAATGGGGACACCTTGTGGCTATAACATTTTCAGTTTTTTTAAATAGACTGCAGCTGGAAAAAGGAAAAAAAAACAAAACTAGGATCTATTACAAATGTCCAGGAGACCTGTTTTTGCTAATAACCACAGCCACCCATTCTGAAATATAGCCCTGATGAAACCACAGACACCATAGTTTGTGATCTATTTGCTAAATTTAGCATTGCCATTTATTTTTGTTAACACACGAGAATGAAATAGTTAATTATGTGCTTCTGACTTCTAGGCACAAGACCATAAACACAACCTGAGAAGGGGAAGAATGAGGAAGTGTGGGGAGACTCTTCCCACCTATTGTATCTTCAGGTCGTTTCTCTTTAAATACATCATAGACGATAAATCCTATGCAAATGCTCACTGGCGATAGGAGATAGACAACACCACCTATTTATATGATTCTAAACAATATACTGTAACATCATTATTATTACGTATATAAGCATATAATTACATAAACACATAATTTCATAAAATACTTTAAAAGCAATAATTTACTCCATGGTAATTCAAGTCACTGCATCACATTGTATACAACATTAGGAATGCAAAATTAAAAGTTTTTGTGCCAAATAATAAGAACTATTTTATCTCCATGTACAAAGAAAATTGAATAACTTACCAGGAAACACCCTAACTCTCACTGTTTGAGAGTCTTCTTTCAGCCCCGGCAACGTTACTTTCAAATTGTATTTCTGCCAGAAACAAAAAATCAATTATAATCAAATAAACAAAACATATTTATATAATACTATATAAACGGAATATTCAGTAATCACAAGAGTACCAGGAAAGAAACATGGTAAATACTGACCTTGCCTTGACAGTTGCCTACGAGGCCTTTTGCTTTAACACCTTTAATCATACAGCTGGTTCCCTCTGCCACAAGTTTTTCATAACTTATATCCAGGGAACTGAAATGACACAAAGATCCTTTCAGGCTACAATCTTCAGAGGCAAATTAAATATTAATTTAAAAGGAGCTGGAAGCAAGCCAATTGAGAGGACAGTATATCAGAGGAGGACAAATAGAGTTTATAACAAGAACTATATTATTTATAATAAGAAATGCATAATATTGACAGAGCTGAGAACAGACAAACACTGAGGAACAAAATACATTACCTAGTGCATCAGACAATATATTTTTTAAATTAGTGAATTTACTGGTGCTTTAAGTAGAAAAACATCTCTAGCAATTTTAAATGTAGCAGTATGCTCTTTCTTGTTACTTCAAAAGGCACAAAATCATGCTTGACATCAGTCATGTTTGGTATAAAGTCTATACACACATGCAGTAATTCACACAAACTGAATAGAAAAAGTATTATGCCATCTACAGAACTATAAGCTTAGCTGACGTATCTGGCAAAGCTGTTATTCTTGTCAAATAGATTGTCATATTACTCAGCTACTGGCACCCAAAAAACTGAAAGGTCTTCTCTCTCTGTAACCTTAATGTTCACAACAGAAATGCATGGGTGTATATATAGGAAAAAATACCAAACACCCTAAATTTAGCAGCAATATGAGGTAGCTAAGCATTTGGATTTAGTTAGAGTACAATCGCACCTACAGGAGAAATACTGGTACAGTGATGAAAAGTATGGGAAGTCACAAATCTGCGCACCAGCCTGAGAAGACAACCTTGAACTATGACTGTAGATAAATGTTATTACAACTTAAATTGAGTACCTGCATTCCAAAACTGGTACAAGATTCACAGGCGGGGGTGTAGGGTGTCCAAACTCATCAAGGAGCTCCAGTGGAATGTCAAAGGGCTCTCCTATGTGGAGCAGGGACTCCAGCGGTCCCAGGGTGAACCTGAATGGATTTCCCTCTAGGTGAAGAAGAAAAAGTAACATCCATCACACTGCCTGGTAATGTGCACATTAAACTGCCTGAACAAACGAGTCTAAGGACAGTTCTGCAGTCCCACTCTGCACCTAACTACCGGACCAGGTAAATCAATTCAAAAAAGAGATACCGGGCAGAACTGTTTCCATTTCCAAGAATACACATTCCACATTGAGATGCAAAACAATTGCTAAACTATATGAATCGTAATATGATCAAAAACCATGACTTCAATATAAAATGGGATGATGTTCTGTTTGACCGTAAGAAGACATACTGTATCATGACCAAATATTCCTACCAAACCATCCTGCTAGCAATTACTCATAAATCCGGTATAAATCATACATATTGGTTAATAATGGATTTTTTAATAACTTTATTTTGAATATTCAGTTACATGAATTCTGGGATGCACAACTAAGAACAACATTGATACACAAAACACTTACCTGTCACAGAAAATTCATATGTTTGAAAAGGCAGAGATCTTCCTGCATAGGTGCTGGCATTACTCTCATTTAACACTACCTGCAGCTTCAAAGTGTATTTTCCCAACTTGTTTATGTTTTCTGAATGGGAAGAAATAAGGGCAAGTCAATTATGGAATTAAACTATTTTGTTTTTGTCTTTATTTTTACAGACTCCACTGTAAGCTTTTCTTCAGGGTATCTCATGTACAATATTTTAAAAAATATGAGGAAAAAAATATATCACAAATTAAAAAGATTAACATACCCATTTTTTTAAACCAGTAAGGCCATTTTCCACCATGCTGGCTGATGTGCGAGTTTGTTTCTATATCCCCACTGGGAGCTGTTTCACAAGTGGAAAAGCAGTGAAAAGGTTAAGGACATCAAACCTTAATACTGTTTAATCATAATTAAGGTCAGAGATATGTCAACCATCCATTAGCACAATAATGTGTAATCAGCTCTATGTAAAGGTTTTAGGCCAGAAGACTTTGACCTCAAGCAAATAAGAGAGGAACAAAATGTACTGCATATCCAGAAAAACACTAGAAAGATTTATTCAGTCTACATTGACACCTGATTCAAGTGATGCTTTAAAACTAGTTGTGATACTAGGTAATACTAAGGTCCAGAGGAAAAGAATGGATAGACCAGTCAACAGACATCATTACTAACCCTAACAAAAGGTGTTTCTGTACTATACATTGCTCTAAACCCAGACTGAAATGGATTATATATCTTATTTACAGTAAGCGATCAGCAACAGACAGCTCAGCCTAGAATCTTGACTATAAACAGCAAGTTCACTTTTGGGCGATACTTATGAAGCAGGCTGGAGTTCTGCTTTCTTAACACTGTGGTAACTGAAATGGTTTAAAGGCTGAAGCTAATATTTACATAATTTGCCTATGTATTTTACATATATACAGTACACACACATTGGAGGGTCTTGACATTTACGAGGTTTGTCCAGAGAACTTGCCAAATTTGAATAGATATTTGAATACTTCTACCTCTACAGTGTTGCGTAATGTAATGCTACTGTATATAGTATATATGCACTACATACTGGACTCAACTATATGATTATTAAAGTGCTAATGAATTGGCTTTAAGTAAACAGTTAAAATAAACCACATTAATCTCTCCTCTGCATCCAGCCTACACTCCCCACTGTAATGAAAAGGGCAATAAAACTGTCAGGAGGCCTGTAAACTCATCTCCAGCCTGTCATTCCCTATGCTGCCGACACAGAACCTGGAGTGTTTGTTACAACAAAAAAACAAGACCATGCTGATTTTCAAATCCTGGGTAGTGGGGTACTTGGCAGGCAGTAGCGAGAGGCTTACTCACTAGCTAGATTCATCTCATGATTCTTGCCTGTTGCGCCGCTAATCTGAAAGTTGTAGTTAACAACCTACAGCTTGGTTTCATCTTATGCTCTTTTTCCATACAAGACCCCTTCGGCCATAAGTCAAGAACGTTAAAATAGCAGATGTTGAGCCCTTACTGTATATGCTGCATCACAAAATGCCCATGAAAAAGGAAGTTGTCTTGGCCACTGATGATTGCTGTTTGCAATACACTGTATTCTCAATTTTTATATCATAGTGTATGATTATTGTTGAAGAATTTCAAAATACCAACATAATATTAACATCTTATATTGACCCATTCATAACATTAATTGATTAGCTACATAGGAAAATAATCATTGTCAGTAAATCACTAGCCTTTACGTTTTGCTTAATAAACATGACTATTTCCTGCTCTTAACAAATGAAGTATACAAACATCCACACTAATAAATGTACAACACAGCAGGTCGTAAGCCTTAAAATTACATCCTTGAAAGAAAATCGTTATGTTGGGTATCTACAATGGTATATCATGAATACTCACAGTGCCAAATAACTTTCAACTCAACCAAAAGCTTCTTTGTTGAACCATGACTAGACCCAGGAAGTTTCTGCATTGCTTCTCCTTTCTTGTTCAATATTTCAATCCTCATTGCACCTAAAACATACAGAAAAAAAAGTTAAAACTGTTCACTGGTTTAATTGCAAGCTTGATTCAGGATGGTATAGTGCAGTTAACTACTTGATCACCTTACATGCAGCACCCTACTTGTGTGACCACAAAATAATCCCGTTGAGCTTGAGGTGTTGCGAGTTAGCTACATCAATCAACTATAGATTCAAAATGAAATGAAAAAGGACAGCTCACAGAAATGTAGAGAAATAAGGAGGGAAATGGTGCATATTTCTCTTGCCCCCATGCACATATGAGAGATGGTAATGGTACAGCAAAGCAGCAAAACCAAATCTGGAGGTTTTTGAAAAAATAACTAGTGGTTCCAATTTTAAAGAAAGAATTGAAAGTCCAATGAACTGCAAAAAAACCCATAAACAAATCTGTACCAGAATATTTAAGTCAATTAACATTTAAACAACTTTACTTCCAAAACATGCATCTGGATTTGGCTCAACAAAGCAGTTCTGTCACATTGCCATCATTTGCTTAACAATTTTTAAAAAGGAGCAACTCATGATTTCACCAAAACTGAAACACAGTTCAACATGAAAAGTGTTGTTAAAAATTTAAACCTACCTATAGGGGTCCCAGCAGAACGAACGTCATTCTGCACCAGTTCATCTCCATCTGGCCATGTGACAGACAGGCGATCTGGAAGCCTGGGGGGTTAATAATGAGTACAGTATTATCAAACCAGTATAAGAATTTAATAAATTCAACCATACTATGACCATTGTTAACAGAGATTCTAGGAATATACAGTATTACTATCCAAGAAATACTGTGGAAAAGCAATGTACCAGTAAAGGTGCCTAGTGTAGGCAATGTGTGTTCGCTGTAAAGAAGGAGTGTTTAAAATAGTACAGACATATTGTTTTATATAGAAACATCATGCAGAAATGGTCATTTAGAAAGTCTGTCAACATTTGAATTCTGTGTTTGTTTGGAACTGCTAGTGTGAACCATTTTTTTCCCCCAATAGACGCCGCCTGAAACAAGATGACTATTTTTCCAGGAATTATATGTGCTAAGATTGGCGCTAGCTGTGTGAAACTAAATATTTTGAAAAGAAAATATTAGGCTAATCAGAAATTAAATCTTGATGTAATGACAGTTGTACTATACCTATAACTTGTCTAGACTAAACTCTTTCTGAAAACAAAGTTCAGAGAAAACCTGGTTCAGATGGCCTCAGCGATTTACAAGAACACTGCCCCTAAAGTTCAGAGTTTGTATTAAACACAAGTTTAACCAAAAAGAAACAGTGTTAGTTTATACCTGTCAGCTCAAATGCTAGTGTGTGAGCATACACAGTCTGAAATTTGGATGGAAAAAATGTTTACATTCATTATAATCTTGGAAGCTTGTAAAGGTGAAGAAAGGTCCTTATAATCATTACAGGTGTCCACACTCACAAGCCTAATAACCAAAAGAACACTACTCACCTTGCTATTTCATCCTCAAGGTACTTCTTAATTACAGTAATATGAACATTTCTATCAATTTTTGAAATTGGAATAACTCTAACTTCATCATAAAGTGCCTTGGGTTCCTGCAGAGACCCGAGAGAAAAACAAATTAGTCTGTTTGAATAGTTTTAATATGAATAGTCTAGCCTTTTTATGATCTTAATTATGTAGTATCAAACGTCTGTCACTTCACATTCCAGACTCTACCTTCTGGGTAAAACGCAAACAATAACCTTCCTGTAGAGCACAAAGTTTTTTTTTACTAAAACAGAAAAAAAAAACACTGTAACTTCCATTCTTAGCCCGTGTTAGATTTGTGTACATTCTTAATGAATACTGTAGGTGAAAAAAAAGAGTGGAGAGCAATAAACCACTGTGTGATATGTGCTAGAAGTTTCACATTTGCTTTAAGTAACCTGCTGTTTAACAGAGCTGCACAATATTAGGAAAATGCACTGTCTGTGCAGATATTCTATAATAATACAATTATTATTGAACTGCCCTGTTTGGACAAGACAACAGCCATATTTACAGGAAACAGAAAAGAGAATTAAAATAGCAGGGTGCAGAACAGATGTTACCACCTCGTTCACAATGTTTTTTTTCCAAAATATCAGGTACCTTACTAAAGATATGAAATAAGAACATAATGCAGACCAGGAATGCTCAACCTGCATTGTATACTGTATAAGTTCAGGTGGGTAGCTGCGTCAGCATGCGTAGGCTGCAAAGGAACAAGTAATAGGTTTGTTCCATGCTGAAAAAAAAGGTGTGAAGAAGGCTCCACAGCCGAAATGTTGCGTTTTCTTTCTTCTTTTTTTCAGCACCTATTACTTGTTCCTTTGCAGCCTACGCAACTACCTGCCTGAACTACTACAGCCTACACCTGCTGCGACCCACTATGCCTTCCTCTAAATCTTTTTCTAGATCTCTTTGTCATACCTTTTCTTCCTCCCTGGGCCACTTGCCCACTTCTCTCACTAAACCAGCATTCCGTCTCTTCACAGCTATCTGTTCCAAGACCAGGCTTTCTAACCACCTTCTATTCCTTTACAGATGTCATTGACATACAGTATCATCTCTAAAGGATTTCGCCTGAAATTTAATACCTTTTCTGCTCATGGCCGAAACGTTGCGTTTTCTTTCTTATTTTTTTTCACCATGGAATAAACCTATTACTTGTTCCTTTGTACGGTATACTATATATACAGTATTGAAAATAAAATAAAATACTTGACGCTTGCAGCACAAGTGTTGCTGTTCATACCATTTTAGATCAGTTTCGTTGAGTAATGTTTCATGACCTACTTTGATAAGATTCTTGCACCAATGCCTGATGTTTTGGTTGTGGGTTCTGCATATTTCACTACACACTGTAACAAACCTGTCCTTCATCTTGCAAATATCTGAAACTTTTTACAACCATATTCCTCACTCAAGAATAAACAAAACCTTAACAAGAAGCATCTTAGAAAACCTGCCCTACATAGTACAGCATTGAGGTAACAGCTTTTTTTTTTACCTTTTATTACACATCTTTTACAAAATACTTTCCTTTTTCATTTGTTAAACCATCTATTATGGACTTTTGATATATTAATGTTATTTTTTAATGTACAGGGTATTAATATTGTGTCACTTTTTGTAAAAGTATAATCATCATGAAATCAATCTTCACCATGATAGGTAGTCAATAATGTACAGTACACTGTAATATATTTTGATACATTAAATATACTTTACAATTAACATAATGAAATCAGAAAATTAAAGAGGAACTGCAAAACTGTTTCTATATTTCAGGGTTAGAAAGAATCAGTATTGATGAGTGCATTTCAGACCACAACAAGAGTAAAATGTACAGAGTATGTTTTAAAAGTGGTTTTCAGGTTCCCATTACCACAAGAAAGGGCAACAGTCTCCAGCAGCCCCATGCAAATGATACTACTTTTCAATCAGGCAGTCAATCGTCCAATAGATCACATAATTAATCAGCCTATTTAAACTTTTTTCTCTGTTGGTTTGGCACTCTGACACCGAGCTGCAAAGAGCTAGCTCAGTCTCTGACCGTGACAAACCTGACTAGCTTCCCAAACACTGATCTAGTGGAGATTCTTTTCCTTAATTTTTTCTCTGCCAGTCTTCCACCAACCAGCCAAACCTGTTATCTCATTACCTTTACTAAAGATAGTCCTTATACCGCCTCACTCCCTGCTTGCTAATCTCAGCAGCACCTCCAGCATAATACATTTACGCATGGGAAGCATATTTTCACATTACTGTCTCAAATGATTACTGATATCTGGTGATTTAAAGTGGGAATTTGGGCATTTAATGGATTTTTATATCCTAGAAGTAATTATATTCTTGTGCATTTTTAACATCACGTCAAGTCATCAGCAAGTCCAAAAGACAACAAGATTGTATCTATAGCGTGCTAAATCAGAAGTCTCGTATAAGCCTGGATATGTTCAAAAATGACTGTCATTTGAAACACAATGTGTGATATTTAGCCTCAAATCGGTCTTTCATGGTTCAGAAGTGCTGAATTTCAGGTATATTTGAGATGCCTGAATCACGCTCATGTCACACAGAGGTGCACAATTACAAGTATGAAATCCTACCAGGGAGATCTGTACTTCTCCTCCAGTGGCATACACATCTCCTTCATGATCACCGTAGAGCAGAAATTGATTGATACTGCCACAGAAAATCGGCTGGGTTTTGATCGATTTCACCTAAGAAATAATACAGACCTTTGCATTAATGAATGGCCAAGATTCTGCCAACGTTTTTAAGCTACATCATTCATGGTAGAAACAGCCTGGCCTAAACTTAATTTCAATAGCTGTGATCAAGACATAAAATCACACTGCTCAAATCAGCCTTTTCAGAAGTTCAACATTACAAGCAATTCTACTCATACTCAAGTCAGAATGAAAAGACTGCAATAAGCTTGTTCAAATGTTGCTACATTAAAAATAAAATAATTCATTGAGGAGTAAACGTTCTCACTCTACATTTCAAATTCAAAATCTCAATTTGGTTATTTCAGATATAATCTATCACCGACTTCTCTGGCGATCGCTGACAACTGTGTAGTACCTATGAACATGTAAGTAATATCATAATAGTATGCCTGCAATACAATACTACTGAAAACTGAACACTGCTTATGCATTTTTAAACAATTTAAATAGTTTACAAAATATTTAAATGTGTCACTTGAAGAAGGCTCAACAGCCAAAGTGTGGTTCACCTATTATTTTAGAATTGAATTAACATTTACTTGTTCATAGTTATAGAACTTAAAAACAAGTTTCTTAATACCTTGCATTCCCCTAAATCAAATTTTTTTATGCAGAAAATACTTACCAATTGACCTGCTTGAAATGTTTTCCCATCCCAGTCAATTGATGTGTATATTGCCCAAGGGCTCTGCATTTTCTTTGTTGAAACATCTGATCTAGTTATTATCCCTTTGAAACCAGAAAATTTAATCTGCTTGTCCCATTTTTCATGGCATTCCTTCAGCCACTGAGTGAATTCCTTGGGAATTTTAATTCTCTGCTCCTGTTAATACAAAACAAACATTACCTACAGCAGGGCCCATCTTAAAATTGTGATGACTATTTTTCACCCTACAACTCACAACTGGCAGCCCACCGAAGCTAAGCAGGTGTGAGCATAGTCAGTACCTGGATGGGAGACCTCCTGGGTAAAACTAAGGTTGCTGCTGGAAGAGGTCTTAGCGGGGCCAGTAGGGGGAGCTCACCCTGAGGTCTATGTGGGTCCTAATGCCCCAGTATAGTAACGGGGACACTATACTGTAAAATGGCACTGTCCTTCGGATAAGATGTAAAACTGAGGCGTTTCTCGAAAAGAGTAGGGGTGTAACCTGGCCAAATTTCCCATTAGCCCTTACCAATCATGGCCTCCTAATAATCCTCATCTATAAATTGGTTTCATCACTCTGCTCTCCTCCCCACTAATAGCTGGTGTGTGGTGAGCATTCTGGCGCACTATGGCTGCCGTCGCATCTTCCAGGTGGGGCTGCACATTGGTGGTGGTGGAGGGCAGTCGCCATTAATGTAATGTAAAGCACTTTTGAGTGCAGTGGCCAGAAAAGCGCTATGTAAGTGTAAACAATTATTATTACTGCCTGAACATAACAGGGCAATTTAGTTCTTATCATATATTCTACTTTATTTTATAAATTAAGTTTTGACTTTGACTCATTTTTATTGTGGATCATACTGTCTCTGCAGTCATTTTTAATTTACCACTGTCATTTTAAAGACAGTGAAACGTTTAAATCAATTCTGTCTTAAAATGTAATGCAAAATATAAAAGAATTTTGATAAAAGTTTGTGTTAAAAAACTATAAACAACACAGCAAAACTCTTTTCCATTCACTGGTAATCTATTAACCTTAATTTGATATTATGGAAAGTCCTATGCCTACTGTAAGTAATATATATTAGTTCCATTTCCTTTCATTGAGGTAAACTGACTTGTGTCTAGCAAACTAAGTCAATTGTAAGATCAATAACAAATTTTTGATAATTATCCAGATCCAAATGTTAAATATCCAAATCTTTGCCAACAGCTTTACAAGTTCCCTCACAACTATCAAGTCTTTGCTTTTATCACAGAACACACCTTAACATGTATTCCTTCAAAATACAATATAACAGCATGTCAGTTAGTATGCAGACATCTTCAGAGCCTGTTCACACCTGTCCAAAATCGGAACAGATGCAAAAAACATTGCATTGCATCAACGAGAACAAGAAAAACAACAAAATCTACCCTCTTGCCTAATAACTAATCTGTCGCCACCTCATAAAATTGACCATGCCTGTTGGCAAATTTGTAGTGTTAAAAGAAAACAATTTCTAACATTGTGATAAGATATTGCACTGAGAATGAAAATGTCTTAAATTGCATAATTTGGAAATTTATCATTTCACTAAGGCAAATGTTTGACCTTGGTGAAAAAAAACTAAGTGCAAAGCTGATGCATTTACAGTTCTCATTCACTAAGGGAAACGCGAACAAGTTGCTTTCATCGCATGACCATTTTAAAACATGCAGCATGCAGGTGACAACCAACTCCATGAAAAACCCTGCAATTTGAATCTCTGTCAAATCCTTCCTGACTCTGAATCATGTACAATCTCCTCTAAACCTCTTTGAACCATGGACAGGTGGTGCCTGAGATTTGAAAAAGTGACAGTGACCACAAAGTCCAATGGGATGTGTAGTGATGGATACCAACCAAAACCCTTCCAACAGGTAGACTTCAGGTTAGTGTACAGGTACAAATTCTGCTAAACATATACTGTACATATAATACTGCAGAGTGTTTTAATGAAATAAAACTGTCTATATGGAATTGCATCAAGTTATACATTATTCAACCACCACTGATAAGGAATCAATGTAAATAAAAGATTAGGGATAATACGTTTAGGCTTATTATTCCAAATGTAACCATTACAGTGTCTTCAGAAATTATTTACACATTGCCACCCCCACCAAACATTTGCAAATATTGTGTTACAACCTGAATTTTTAATATACTGGTTATGTAATATAAAAACAAATCTGATGGAATGCTTTTACATTTTATACCAAGGTATTACTACAAATGTATTTGTATTTGAGTACATAGTTCAAAACCAGATTCATGTATCTACTGCCAAAGGCAGAGCACAAGTGTATTTACTTATATATGCGTCTTACAAGGTCAGGATCAAAACAATTTAAATGGTGATAGTTCTGCACCCATATTAACTCAAAATATGAATGAATAAAAATATTCACATAAACGTACCTGTGCATTCAAGATCCGGGTGAAGATGGTGCTCTTGTCCTTCAGTCTGAGTTCCAGGTCCATGAATGTGAGCTTGTTAGTGCTCACCTGAAATCTGTCATTGGTGAACAGAACACCCGAAATCCTGTTGTAACACTCCAAAGGCACTATCCCTCTCTTCTTTGGAGGGGCACACCAATCGAAGCTGAAAAGATAAAGACAGAACCGGATTCACATAATGCATGTTTTTCACCTGGCAGCTCTTCCTCATGCCACTTCAGAAAGGATCCTACGGAACTAAAATGTGCAGTGTTCCTGCAAAACAACATCTCAGGATCTCAAAGACCTGTTAAGCGTCTTTATCAAATTTCATATGAATTACTGATACCGAAGGATTTGGTAAGCTGTATACTATTAACATATAGAGACATTAAAGTTAATGACATTAACACATAATTCAATTAATTAAATATTTAACCAAATGAAATAGCTGAGAAAGGAATGAATTTTGAATGTAATAACTTGGAAAATTAATGTAACAGCAGAAAAATTAAATAGTGTATTACGTTCATTCATTAATAATCATGAGCTGCTTACTCCTCCACTGTTGTGTAAGGTATCAACCGCCCATTCCAGAAGCATTCAAATATAGGCCTCTTGCCCCGGGCTTCTTTATTTATGATGACGCAGTCTTCTTCATCATCAACGTCAGGTGCTTCTAAAGGAAAAAAAAAACTTTCCAGGCTTCCATTTTTCAATCTACAGTTAGGTACAGTAATTTGGTGAAACTTTGGTAAAAAGGGAAATACATCCATTCATAACACCATAATGTTATATAATATGCCCTATTTACATCTACTTACTGTATCTATGGGATACAGATATACATATTTACATATATCTACAGTATATAACTATAAGATGAAAATTCTTACTTGAATATACACTGGCTTACAGATCTGCCTAAACAGAAGACCCTAAGCATTTTAGGGTAAACAAAACACTGCTGATATACAATCTCCTGAAAACTGAAACACAGGACTGCATTAAAGTTATGCGCCATTCACAAAGCAGGTCATATGATTTTTGTCTGGTACTTAAGCATAGAAAAAGCAAATGCATTTCAATATAGAAAAGAGGTATGAAAACAAGTCTGTTTTAATTTTTTCTCGTTCTGAAATAGCAGCACTGTGTTCCTTTGATTTACACAGTAGTTAACTTGCAACAAGAGTTATATCACAATGGTATAACACATTGCCACACTGTGGCTTTTTTTTAAATTAAACTATAAGGCTAGAGTGCAATTTACAGCATTTACAATACTGGTGAGAATATGTGAAGCCAGAAACAAAATGGGCCACCTCCTTTTGGATAGTGGGGAAAAAAGGAAACACACAAATGTGTGGGCCAATGTGCAATGCATGAAATTTTTAAAGAGTTGTCTGCATGTAATTCACAGGTTTTTGAGGATTCTGTACTAGAGATAATAAAGAATAAATTAACACAACAAAGTAGTTGCAACTGCACAAAAGTAATTTAATACACAGACGTTTATGAATCCTACATCATCTCTAAGATTATAGTCGTTTGTTTTCATCACATATCTGATCCAACTTAGAAAAGCACATTTTTACACTCAATGAGCACTGCAGGTCATATAATCAAATTTCTGATGTTGTGTTCATCTACTTTCCTGAACAGTTTGACTATTTATATTATATCCAATTTGAATTTAATCCAATACTGCAACACCTATGTAAGATATTAAAGCTGTAAATATATAAACTACAGCATTCAGTTTGTTCCATGTTTTGAATCAGAAACTTCTTAACTGTTACCTAAGTTTAATCCTGATAGACTATATTACTAATTTAATAATAATAATAATGTTTTAAGTTTGTACATGCAGAATTTAAAAAATGTCATTGCAGACTTCTGCAGAGAGAATAAAAAACATGCTTTATATACATTTGATGAGGTATTTTTTATCTATCAGTGGTTCTCAAACCGTGGTACGACAGATGACTCTGGTAATTCGTTGTGTGCAATGATAAATTGGGATTTCAAAATTTAACAATTAAAAATAGTTGATTTCTCACCCAGAATTTACTTAATCGGTTTCAGAAAGCTTGAGACGGGTTTTCATATTTTTTATTTTAATAAAATTAGTTTGGGTCAAATACGCCGCCCAAGTACTTAGCTATGTCGATACAGCACGCACTAATACTTGAGTGGGCACAACGGCTACTATTGAATTCTATACCATTATATAGGAATGCCTGCTATGAACCTAAGGGACCAATTGTATTAAAAGAAGTTATCTTTAGCACATAGGGAGGTAGGGGGATGTGCGTGATTTTGGAACACTGCCAATCTTGTAAGCACAGGAAAGAGCGATGGATAACAGAAAAATATTTAAGGACTGTTCTTGGTTAATTACTTTGAGAGCATCTCTGTGCGTTTCACTCCCATGCACATGAAATAAAAACTTCTTTTAACTTCTGAGACGGACACCTGACTGTCTTTTAAGGGGAAACGGGGAAAAATTTCTCCAACGGCACCACATTTGCCAACAGAACAACTGATGGAAAATGAATACCTCACATTCAAGTATTCTGTCATGGCTTAAAGGAATAGACGCCAAGAGTACTGAGACCAACTTAGATCACGCACATCTGTTGAGTACGAGAAGGATTATACATCGGCTACCGACACTAGCTCTGTTGCTGAACCTGACACAGACAGCACTGCTAGTGTTAGCAAACGGGTACAAGAAAAACAGCAAAAAGGCAGTATGATCCAAATTGTCCAAGTGCTCAGTGCTATTTTTCTTATATGTGTGTGTGCGCGCACGCTTAGGTTGGTCTTGGAGATTCTTGGAGAAACAGAGACTTGGTCTGTTTCCTATGAGAAGATGACGTGTAGGTGGTAAGTGGATGCTTTCGTTTGACCAGGGGTGGTACTTGGTCCAAAAAGTGTGAGAACCACTGATATACTGTATGCGACATGTTACACTTACTTGTTACTGCACATGGGTCTTCAGGATACGTTTCCTTATCATAAAGGAAAGGGTGATATCTGATAATTCCTTCGACAACCCCTTCATCCTCCACACGTGTCCTGAACTCAAAACTGTCAACTGAGGAACTGATGTACAGAGTCTGCATATCATCCTTTATCTCCTTTAGATTAACTATCTTTGGAACTTTTCCCTTCTCAAACATGGTGATCTAGGAAAAAAAAGTACATATTTTCAGTCATCAACAGCCAGCTGATACGGACACTTTCTCACACTTAACATTCTACTGTGCATTTTCTTAAATGTACATTTAAGCCTTTAAAAATAGTTTTTTTTGTGATACATACATTTTCAAAAATGTAGCTCTAAAGGTCTAATTCAATTCACTTTTAATGGTAAAAAAGGTTTTTTTTTTTTGGGGAAATGAACTGAGTAACAGAGATTTTCTGAAATTTTGTCCAAACAAAACTAAGTTTTACTGCACTCCTAGTACCTGAATGTCAATGTTCTGTACAAAACCTGTCTTCACTGTAGCATTCAGATTGTTTCCATTGGGTCCATGAACATAATAATGGTAAACATGCCTGAAAAAAAGAAAAAACGTGGTTCTAAGTTTATACACCCCAAAGTTTAATTGCAAATTGTTAATCACTGTACCAACTCTCTAGGAAAAAAAAAACATGAAGCTTTCCTCCAAACCTGCTATGTGTTAAGGTGATCTAAAATTTCCATGCAGTAAAAAGTGCCTAAAGGGGCATCTGACAAGAAAAATAATGTTAAACATAGGCAAACAGCAAGTTGCAAAGAGATCACTGTTGCGCAACCAACCAACAATACTCCTATCAGTCCACCCAGGCTCCAGATGCTAAACCTGGATTCAACTGAATAAATATGTACACCAGTAACCCACAAAGTAATACCCAGGTGGCAAAATTCACACCCACAAAGCCAACAACAATCTTTGTTCTTGTATGCATGGATCAGACTAAGGTGGAGAGATTGTAGAAGGGAAACCTATCTCTATAAAAAAAATGTTTTAAGTCTACATACTTTAAATGCACATAGCCCGAAAAAACCTCAACAAAAACACAGTCACAAACTCACGCAAGCTCTCTGGTCCAAAGATGAAAGTGGTTTTTCAGGTAGTGGATATGATCTTGCAGAACTCCAGTTATCACTACTGTTGTAAAACTGTCCTTTCCAGATTCCTCCATGATAATACCGTGCAAAAACCTCTCATCATCAGACGTAATGTGAAATGAATCACCTGGCTGGAGAAGAATGGCTAATTTAAACACTATGGGAAATGAAACACAAATCAGACTAAAAAATAAAGTGTCACCTGAGTGTAGGAAAGCACAATAACCGATTATACAGTAGATGGAAACTCAGACTGCTTGGGAACATGGCAAAACCCACTGTGGTGTACTCCACGACAAGTTACACACAGACTGGGCCTACCATTCTTGATTTACATCTATTTAAGATGTAACTGAGGGGCCAAAATGCAAATATTCACCTCCCTTTTAACTGAGAACAAAGACATGATGAAGGTGACATTTATTGGAGGGACAAATGCAAAGCAAATTAAAAAAATACTTCAGAAGGGAAAAGAAAACACCAAGTCTTTAACCTTAAAAGTTGGCATAAATAAAACAGTCTCAGGTTTGGATAATACTGCAAGAACGTAACATCTTGGACTGCTGCAGCACTACCCCTACAATGACGAGACGTTCAACTAATCAAACAGCTGAGATTTTCTGTCAGGCCTCTTCTCTGTTGTTGTCTTAGGGAAGTGAGCAGCTGGGAAACTCCCTCATGTGGGTCTTGCCAATGTTCATGATAACAATTATAACACGCTTACCTTTCGGTTTCGAATGTAGCCACTGTATATTGCTTCATTATTCTTTTCTCTTTTTTCAAAGTCGTCTTTACAGAGAATAAGTTCATGAACATCCACAGATTCGGGTGGTTTGCTGATCATCTAAACAACGGTGGGAAATGACATCATTTTATACAACCACATGAGTGATAAATCCCAGGTCTATGCTCATATAATTTGACACAAGTAGAATTAATTGTCAAGACTGCAATATGCTTTTTTCAAATGAATATGTACATTACATAAGAATTTATTTTCTTATAATCTAACACACATTTCCATCACATACTGAGACAGTTTCATATATTTAAACACGATGTCTGCCTCATTTTAAAAAGCTTCATACACATTTACAATTCTCTAGCTTTTAGAAAGCGTATGCATTTGATAAGTTTTAGCAAAGTTATTTAAATGTTAAGTGATACGAGCCACTCTTAAGCACCTTGAAGTAGAAGTCATAGAGATATTAAGTCAAATGCTGAACACCGGGTCTTTGTACATTTATGCATGTCAAATGCCTTAGTGGCACGATAAAACACTTCTCCAAAGGTGCTTGGAAAGAAGTATAGTGGCTCATTATTTAACTAAATTTCTTATAATGCTGTGTTTATTTTGATTTGTTCACTAAGTTTAATGAAGCAAAATGCTTTAGTAAGAAATTGTAAGGTGCTAATTATCAAATAACATCTATACTTCATGGTTTATATCCCATTTGAAAAACAGTCTTAAAAGATAACTGTAATTATTATACTCAACCTTCATGTGCAGCCCAGAATTCAGCCTGAATGTAACCATAAATAAAGTTTAATATTCCTTAGTTACCCTGGTTGAATGTCCAATGTAGAATACAGCTTGCTTTCCACCCACTCCAAAGTAGGATATATCACTGTTCAAACTGCGAGACACTGGAGGAGGACGAACATACCCTGCATGGTCACTATTTAAAAAAATAATAATTTAGTTTTCAGTAAAACAAGATAACATCATCCAGGTATGCCTGAACTCATCTAATCAGATTAATTTATAATAACCGGGCAGTGCGGTGGCTCTGTGGCTAAGGATCTGCACTTGTGGCTGGAAGGTTGCCAGTTCGTATCCCACAGCCGGCAGAGGAATCCTACTCCTGTCTGTGTGTCTCATGGAGAGCAAGTTGGGGTATGCAAAAAGACAAATTACTAATACAAGAAATTGTATATGGCCAATAAAGTGATCTTATCTTAATTTAAGGCAGCCAACATCACTTTTTGCTTCTGAAAACAGTATTTTTCTACATATTTTAAGGTTTTGGTTTGATGTAAATTTAACTTTCAATGTAAAAATTAAAATCTAAACACAAACCTTTCAAATTCTTTGTCTTTCCTTAGAAATTTGGACAACCTGTACACGGCCCAGTTGTTGAGCTGTTTTGATGTCATACCACTCCCATTATCAATCACGACTACAGCATGTTTACCTTGTGATTCATCAAACATCTGAAAGATGTGAAAAACCGATATCATTCTGTTAATAACAAATGAAAAGATATTTCAAATCCAATGTAATGGCTAGAGACTAAAATACCTGTACTTACCAACCTAATGTCTATGCTCCTCACTCCTTTGTTGTATGCTGTTGCTGACAGAGAGTTGTCAATCAGCTCAGCAAAGGCATAAGCTGCAAACAAAATTCCACACTTATGGTTCGTTTTTGCATAAACTGTAATTGTACAAGCTTACTCTTTTAGCATCTTCGAAACTTGGAAAAGTCAGGAACAATCAAACAACCATCACTGCAAAGGCACCAAAGATGCTATTATTTAATTTTTTTTTTTAATACTTACGTAAAGACTTCTGCCCTTGGCTTGCATAATATTCGTACATGCCACTTTTAACAAGGGTGTCATAGTGCGGCAGGAATTCAATACGCTCTCTTGTTGCCACTGGCAAAACTTGATCAACAGAATTAAGTAGATACAAGGTGTTCCCATTTTTTAGCTCTTCTGCAAAATAAAAATACAAATACAATTGTCAGTGGCACCCAATGTACGACACACACTCTTCTGGATTTTAGCCTTAAGACATGGCCAACCTAGGAAAGTTAACGAAAATGGCTCATCTCTTTAGCTCGAGGAACTTTATTTACTTAAAAGGAAATAAACCAAGGAAATACACTTGATTCAGAAAGTTCTCCTCAGGCACCACATAGAATACATCACCCCTTTGATGGTCCCTTTAATTCACTTCCACAAACCAGAAATAAGGTTAAAACTTATCAGCACTGTTAAAAACCAATCTTGTTCTTCACGCAGGTTTAAGATTACAACCCTACTGTATGCAAGTACCCAAAAAACTAACCATATTCTCAAATACCTCTGCCAAGTATCAGTTAACTGTAATGTTCTCACATTTAAAGCATAACATACAAATGATATATATATATAGTCAAGATGATGACTATATGTACTAGTGAGACATCTTTTAAGATCATCCACAACTTCCATCAGTTTGTGCAGCAGACATTTCACTGCAGAAATGTTCCAACATGATCTGTATACACCATCAACAAGTAACATTTGTCAGCAAAACAATCAAGAACAATATTTTCTATTGGATTATAAGAGATGTATTCACAAGCCTGCTTGTTTACAATGTCATAGGGCCGCTTCTCCTCATCGCCAGTTTTGTTCATTCTGAATTGCAGACAATAATGGCAATATGGCAAAGCATATACCTGGAAATTTTGTCTATTTTGATATGTAAATTGATTTTACACGATACTGTATACATTTTACTTTCATTGTGATTTGAAATGCATTCATCAATGCCGATTCTTTCTGTCACCAAAACATGAAAATAGTGACTTGGTTGCCCTTTAAAGGAATGTACTACAGTGACAGGCTTAAAGAACTGAACCCTTTTAATCATTATTAGAGAAGCTTACAGGGGGAACTATTAGAAGTATTCAAACTCCTCCAAGGCTATAACAAACTCAACTCAGAGGCCTTGTTGAGAATAAACACTGAAACTCAAACAAGGTGAGAAGTGGAAATACTTTTAAAAATCTTTTTCTCACCCAAAGACAAGTGGGTGTGTGTAACAAGCTACATAGCGGTCTTGTTGAAGCAGATACCTTGGCTTCCTCCAATTAACATCTGGATTCGATTCTTGGATCAATTAGCTACCAACTACTCAATGGCCTCCTTTCGTTTGTAGCGACTTATGTTCTTATGACAGGCGACTATCTCTTCAAATAAGCCAAATGACTGCTAACTGAAAGACAGTCGACAGCTTTCTTTGAAGACAGGTCCCTCAAAGTACATTGACTTTCAGTTCTCAGATATTTGTCAACCCACTCTGCTTACAAACAATATTAATACTATTGAGGATATAGATATATGGTTTATGACATCTCTGACATGGATCAGTATTTTGTGCCTATAATGTAACATGGGACACTTCTTTACCCTGTCACCACTAATTGACCTGTTTGTTTCAAGTCACGACACTACACAACTGGCAAGGGATATGGTCTCTTCTTTATACAACTTTCTTCTCTTACATTAGTTCCCTACATGTTATCTTTATATGGAAACAAACTGAGGAATGCACACAATACTGTAACAGCAGACCCAATGAATGAAGACTGCATCTCACCTTCTCTGTCACACATATACAAAGGATGTACCTTGCACCTACTTTTTCAGGGTTAGCCTATGATAAGATGTTTTTGGAAGTGTTGGGGCGGCATAGGCAGACCTTATTTTTGCTTTGAGTCAAGAAATTTGAATTTGTGATTGTGCAATAATCGTGCATCAGTAAGTATAATATCACTCATACATGATAATATTTTATATATATTTGGTTTTTTACTATTGGTTAACTCTATGTATATAATTGGACAAAACATCAGAAAAAAACATACTTTTTGTGCTACCCAGTAATTTCAGGTGACAATAAGAATTGCCACTTTATTATCGGTTACTGCCTATTCGTGGGGGATTTTGACTTTGTTTTTATTCTGCTCACGTAAAATGCAGTTGGTTTGATTAGCCCAGATTTTAATCTAGAGAATGGCTTCACCACACTCCACTTTTTCCAGTACAGTGGATATAAAAAGTCTACACACCCTTATTGAAATTGCAGGTTTTTGTGATGTAAAGCCAGAAATCAAGATAAATCATGTCAGACATGTTTCCATCTTTAATGTGACCTTGCAACCAAAAAAGTTCAAGACAAAAACAAATAGATCATTAATAGGACAAATAATTGAAATTAAAAAAACTACAACACCCTGTTTGCGTAAGTGTGCACACACCCCCAGCTAATAGTTTGCGGAAGCACCTTTTGCATTTATTACAGCACTGAGTCTTTGTGAATAAGTCTCTATCAACTTTGCACACCTGGACTTTGCAATTTTATCCCACTCTTCCTTGCAAAAAAGTTCAAGCTCCTTCAAATTGCCAGGGGATCTCCTGTGCACAGCCCTCTTCAGGTAATTCCACAGGTTTTCTATGGGATCGAGATCTGGGCTCTGACTGGGCCATTCCAAGACTTTGATCTTCCTTTTCTGAAGCCATTCCTTGGTTGACTTGAATGTGTGCTTTGGGTCGTTATGTTGGAAAGTGAAATTCTCTTCATCTTCAGCTTTCTGATAGAGGCCAGCAGGTTTTGCGGCAAATAATCTTGATATTTGGAGCTTGTCATTATCCCATCTATCTTGGGCCCCTGTCCCAGAGCATCATGCTGCCACCATGCTTCACAGTAGGTATGGTGTTCTTTGGATGATGAGCTGTGCTGTCTTTGTTCCAAACATATCTTTTAGAATTAAGGCTAAAAAGTTCAATTTTTGTCTCATCAGACCAGATGACATTTTCCCACATGGTTTGGGGTGATAGAATGTATTTTTTGCAAAATTTAGATGGGCTTGGATGTTCTTTTTTGCAAGAAATGGCTTCTGTCTTGTAACCCTACCCTATAGCTCAGACGTGCAGAATATGGGAGATTGTTGTCACATGCAAGGAGTGACCAGTACCTGCCAGAAATTCCTGTAGCTCCTTTAATGTTGCTGTAGGCCTCTTGGTAGCCTCCCTCGTATGTTTTCTCCTTGTCCTGTCAACTTTGGAGGGTCAAATTGGCAATGTCCCTGTGGTGCCACATTTTCTCCACTCATTGATGATAGTCTTCACTATCACTATGGTACATTTAATGCCTTTGATATTCTTTTATACCCCTCTCCTTATCGGTATCTTTCAAAAATAAGATCCCATAGACGTTATGTCAGCTCCTTGTGGCTATCACAGTAGGATGCAACCATGAATGTTTCAAAGAAATCCTACAGGAACAGCTCATTTGTATTTGGGGTAAAACAGAATCACTTTCATTGACGGCTGGTGTATGCCACTTACCTTTGGACATGATTTTGAATGTGACTGGTTAACTCTGAACACAGCTACTGCCTCCATTATAAAAGGGTGTACACACTTATGCAACCAGGGTGTTGTAAGTTTTTTTAATTTCAATTATTTTTCCTAATAATGAACTATTTGTTTTTCTCTTGTCTAACATGATTGATCTTGATTTCTGGCTTTACATTACAAAAACCTGCAATTTCAATAAGTGTAGACTTTTTTATATCCACTGTAAGTACCTCACACTCAAAGCTATTAAGTTCAGTATACAGTATGTGACTAAATTCTACAGTTTCTTTTCCAAGGACAAACTAAAAACTTACCTCTAACTGAACCAAAGAGTGAATACAATTCTCAGTGTTTATGTGTAATCCATTTGAATAACTAGTACAACCCTGACAACCCTGATGTTAATTAAATAATACATAGACTGATATTCAATGCATAAGAGTTTTGCAAATAGGGTCAAGGTTTTCCAATAATTGTGTCCAACTACTTCTGATCTTACAACCTGCGGTCTGTCTGTGCAAGTCATCTACTTCCTAAACATGACCAAAGTGGTTAATCTGAGATACAGGAATTTACTTTCTTTTTTGCCACAATGCCAACTAACCTTGAAAACCACTATTAGATTCCGCATATTTCAGCAAGTCAAAACCTAATCACAGTACAAGACATTTGCATTTTTATTGTTCCAGCAACTGAAAGAAGACAATTTTAAAATGTTATTAAATTTAGTATTCTAATATTTCTGTGGGAATTCTGTGTATTCTATATGTCAAACATTTGAGAGATCTTGCAGAAACCCGTGCAAAAATGTGAGCCTGATAAATGTTTGTAATGTTTGTGTATTTGGAATATTAAGAGTTAAGACTGGACACAAGTGGAGGGATTTACTAGGTGGTAAAACTACATCTATAGGAATTCAGAATTGTATAGTATAAGAACATACAAATGGGCAGAAGGTGGATTAATGAACATTTTGTGCTTACAGGACACTTGATAAAGGCAGTTTTTACCAAGACACAGAATGTTCAGTGTTAAAGATAAAATTGTTATTTTACTTACAGGTGAACATTTATTATGCAAATAATACTTACCGAAAATCTGGTCATTAACTGCTTCTCTGGCTGTTGTCGTCAAGACAAACTTTTCTTCTGTAGTAATTGTGAACTCCTAAAAAACAGGGGAAACAAACTTATGTCTAAGAAGATAAATTTCTATTAATTTAAACAACTTTTCAACCAGGAAGGTGTTGGCATAGGTCTGCTATCATTTTCTCATATCATACAATTACATAATTACCACAGCATATGCGTTACATAGGTCAGTGTCATCTTATCACAGCTGGAAAGGGATAAAAGTTTGGATCCTACTGTAATATGAATGGAAAAATAACTATAAGGAAATACGAAAAAGATACAAACAACTTAGTAAGGAAGTGACTATAGGTTGAGATAAGCTCTCTCCACATCTACAGTATTTTTGACGTGTTTGTTGACTGTGTGTGCAGCTTTTTTTACACAGCTGGTTATTCACACTAGTTGTGTCTCACAAGCATAGCTCTGATCTGCTGCCTATTACACAAGTAACACAAGCTCCACAACTTCATCAGCATTTCTTTCTCAGACAATCCACCACAGATACAGACAAAACCATGTAATCAAATAATATTCAATTAGCAACATACTATACTGTTTGAATAAGAAGTTAGACTTTAATTTGATTATGCATCTGTCACATTATTAAATACAATACCCACAATGTAACATTCCACACCAAATAGTTTTTTGTTCTAGAGCTCTTTGAACTTGGCCACCTGAGCAGTAATTTTTACATTATCCATCTTTGTAATTAATTTTAAATTAAATTTATCAGTAAACCTCAAACAAGATTCAAGACATGGTTTGCCAGTGTGCTGTTTACTTAGCTCCTCATCAACTGATCAAGCACTTCAACCATATGGTTTGACTCACATCTCAAGGAAAAAAGTAGCTAATGGGCTTATCAGCAACCTTCTAGGATCCCTATAATTTTTTATGGGATACCTAGCCTTTAGAATATTCCACTGCCAAAATCAAAAATATAATTGCATCATTTAGCTAATCTAGTTTTTAAAATCTCAACTACATATACAGATGCTCTGGTGTGCATGCAACCAGTGTTGATTTCAAAACAGACTACATACAGTACCTATGTACTGTATGACTACTGACTGCATGGAGTGGAGGGTAGTACTGTGGCTAAGGATCTGCGCCTGTGGCTGGAAGGTTGCCGGTTGTGGGATTTGCAGAGGAATCCTACTGCGTTGGGCCCCTGAGCAAGACCCTTAACCCCAACTGCTCCAGGGGTGCCGTATAAATGGCTGACCCTGTGCTCTGACCCCAAGCTTCTCCGATACCGTTTGTTTGCTTGTGTGTCTCATGGAGAGCAAGTTGGGGGTATGCAAAAAAAATTCTTCCTGCGGTGAGTTGTTTTATGGGGGTAATGTGGTGTTCTTTTCTTGTGGAGCATGCTGCCGTCATTATTAAGATGATGAGTGGTGTGAGTTTTTTGCATGATGGATGTCACATTTAGACATTTTTACTTTTTGGTTTAAAATTACGACAAGACTTGCTTAAAAGCCAAACAACCAATGCAGGCTCTGGATTGTCCCATAAAAGTTTAATTTTCAACAAATTATTCAGATCCTAAGGTCTCAAAAACACCAGTTCCTCAGAAAGCAAGACCTGACAAGGTAAGCTACATCACATCCCAAGACAAAATAGAGTGGTGGTTTCAATAAGGAGATTATTCACAGTAAGTTCTTCAACTGTGTTCTTTCAAGACAGTTGTGAAAAAGTCCAAATGGATTAAATATTTACATGCAAATTAAAATAATCAAACAATTTATTATTTAACTGACTTCAATTAGACTTGCAATAATAAAACCTAAAATAACAACGACATACCCCAATTTTCCTTTCACACAACATAACGCTTCTGTCACACAACCTAACCGATCTCTCCAGTGAAAACTATCACTTGAGAGGAACTGGACAAGACGTGCAGAGATTCTGAGGAACTGGAAAATAAATACTTCAAATTGTGTAGCTTTGCTTTTGTTTTCTTTCACTATTCATTTTTAAACGAAGTACTACAGTAAGTACAGCACATACCTTATTAAAGCATTTAAAACTCCAGGAAACTAATAACACACACATCATGTTTCTTCACCATGAATTTGTCTGTGAACAATATAAACTGCAGACACCGGCTTTATTACTTATTCTTCTTTAATACCAAGAGATTAAAAGTAATATTGTATTAGTACACTATACACTTTCTTCCAGTGCCAAAAACAAACCAGGAAGTCCAAAACATCTTATGCGAAAAGCAGAATTATAATAGGCAAATTACATGTGCACATTTAAGGGAATTTACTGTAAAACTAAATCAAGGATCAGAATGATTCAGAATGAAACCTGACACTATCAAATTGAAAACAATCCACAGTTAGTACCACGTGTGATAATCTTTTTGGTAACTGATTAGTTGCGTTGCATTAATAGATGCATTATCTCTTAAAACTTCCGTGGATAATGCCACTTGCATATCTGATACAATCATCTAGGCCTATTTACAGATTACCAATACTTAACTGTAAACACTGTTAATTGGTAGCCTTTTGTAAGGTGAGCAAACAGTCTCCAATAATTCCCTGTATGTGATACTGTGGGGATACACTAAATACTATTTATGGACAAATGGTGTATTGTGTGTTCTCTTATGTATTTCGTTGTTTCAGTGCTGAGATTGCAACTTTCTCAACATTATTATTCAAGGGTCAGCAGACCGTGTTTAACATACTACAAAAACAAAATGACTATGTTCGCAATTTAAGACCTTGGATGGAAGAAAAATCCTAAGAGATAGGTGATCCCTATGCCCAAGGTTGTAAACCACTGCTGTATATAAACATCCCAGGCTTAGAGAGAAAATGCGCGAACCGTTTCTGTTCCCAACCGATCAAGCTGAATCGAGGGACGCCCGTGAGAGCTCCCACGTGTCTTCGCAATATTCGTTTTCCTTTGGCGTGAATCTCTGAATAAGGTCAAATAATTTAAATGTCTAAAACAGCAGTTAGAAAGAAACCAGCGACTTTAAATTGCACTGAAAGGGAAAAAAAACCGTACCACTAGCGAATATTACTGTAAAGCGGAAGGTAAACGGAAAGAAGGAAAAGTACGGCCTCCGTCGGAGTTGTCATCAGCAGACCGCAGTCCTTTTTTGGCAGAACTGTAGTCAATAACTGTTGTAAAGTGGCCGAGTACAACAAGTGAGGCAAAAATAAGAACAAGACGCTCGCCATCCGCAAGCTGCACAGCACGGAATACAGGATACTGGCCAACTTCATGTTCAAGACATGAAGATCTAAAGAGATCTTCTTGTGAATGGGAAAAACGGTAATTATCTTACACTTTTAGTAAAACGTCCGTCTTCACGAAAAACGTTAAAAATGTATAGCTTTTAGAAACTGAATATTAAAATATAATATTTCTCACGTCTAAGAAAGGGGGTGCTAAAAAAAACCATTGCATTAAACTCGAAGTTGTTTGGTGTCGGAGAAACTGTGGGAAACGGGGGGGAATTTAAATAAGCTTTTTGGAAAATCAACACCGATTAACAGAATCCCTCAATTTTGTTACAGAACCACAGTGCGACTGTATGCTTATTTTTTTATTTTGAATTAAACATCTCTACTGTAAGTTACTCGCAAAGTTTTGCGAGACTGCACACACTTGCCCACAACTACATCGCTCTCCACTTAGTCAGCTGTCTGCAATAGTAACAAGCATGATGTGCGGCTCCAAAGCTGAGATGAGGAGCTCGACTGCAGATCACATCCTTGTCTGCTTTAGAAAACTTTAAAGAAGCGATAAACTCGGCACTGTAAAGAAAAACAAATGCATGTCTTTTTTCTACATGTCAGATCTTTAACGTGTGACAATAGATGTATTTACCTTGCGAACAGTGGCGATGAACTCCTCGAGGGACACATTCCCACCCTCCAGGACCTTCTCGATGGTGTCATTCTTCTGCCCACGGCAGTCAAACACGAATACCTTTCTGATGAACCCGAAGGAGACAGCTAGCCCAGGATTGCAGGACACCGCCGGCAGAGAAGAGTCCTTACTGAAGTCGCAGTCCTGCTTTCTGCTTGCGGACGCCATGTTTTATCCGGGCAGGTGAAAGCTGCAAGCAAGGAGTCTTTCGTTTTCAGCTTGCAAGAGCGTAACTGGGTGTTTAAATCCCCCTCTGCATTAGCAAATCTTTAACGATGGACTGAGCCGAATCGCACGACTCCCATTCAATTCTGCGCCATTGTCCCGCCAGTCTGTATTTCTGAAAACAGCTGCGCAACCCGCCAAACGCTTCTGAACAGGCCGACCCCAGACGTCACTGCCTGGTACCACGTGTTGGTGTTGACAGGAAGAATAACAACGAAAAAAAACTACTCAAGAATCCTTCATGTGGATATTTAACTACACCCCAGTGTTTAATCGCACATGGCGCTGACCAAGGACTCGTACGTTTTGTCATTTCCTGCCTCTTTTTGAGACAGGAATCAAAAACCATTATGATTTTCGATAATGGCCTTCGACCCTGTTAATACCGTTGAAATGAAACGGTAAAATGACACAATATAATACACAACAGAATTTAAAAAATGTGTATGTATAGGGGAAGAATTACAACTCTTTTGCTTCTTGAAACCATAAGTAAAACTCTGAAAAGTGGTTCGTGCTGTTATTTTTATAAGGATCGATCACAGGAACTAGAATATCATTTTTTTTTGTTCCCACTGTTCGTTACACGCTGTCTTTTGTAACTTAGTAATGTCAAGACTAGAGCGTTCTGCTGAATAGAAGAGAATATTGTACTTGAACCGGTATGCTTGGGAGTTTTTTAATGAGTTGTGTTAACTTAGCCTGAATTGTTTCACCGACTTATTATTTTCACCTTTTGCTATCATGTTTTTAAGTTTCAGTATTTTAAGTTGTTTTCAACAATTGTCTTTGGAAGCTGTCTGCATTTTTGCAGAGCTAGGCTATTCTTTGCTTTGCTATAGAAAACGGTTATGAAAATCCATTTCAATCATTGTATTATTTTTCTGTTATGGGCATTTGCTGTGTACAGAATACGAAAACTAGTATGATCTGCAAAGTATATGTTCTGTGTTTTGTTCTGTGGTTGTAATCACTAAAGGCTCAGCCTATGGTGTGAAACCCAGTATCTTTTTGATTCTCCCAGTGCCGTAGAAGTTGCACTAATGTTCCATTTAGTATCTTCAGTGATAATGTCCCATAATAGCCCTAAACCCAGGGACACTATCTTAAAGACATAATTTATGGTTGTGCCTTATCATTTTGGCCCAATAATTCTGCAATTAATTACACCCTAGAATTTGATGGAAAGATTAGCAAATTCCTAGAAAACATTACCTGTTTTTCTTAACCCTAAAGACCTAATACTGTAGGTAATTCCTCTTTCCTTGATTCAAACTGTGGTAATATATTGCCACTCAGCCAGATACAGTGCTTTGTGAAAGTATTTATCCCCCCTGCACAGTTTCCACATTTTGTTGATGTCTGAGGCTTGCAATTCTGACACTTTCAGATAAGACTTTATATCTGGAATTTACACAATCTACTCTACACTGACAAAACTAAAAATACTGATGGTATGTAAATAAGATTTTTAAGGAAAGTTAGCAGATTCCCAGTTGCATACATATACAACATCTTTGAAAAGGCAGTTCTAAATCAGTTCAGGGTGAAATCAAAGGTTAAAAGGTCACAGAATTTGGTGTAATTACAGTTTCTCTGAATGAAATAAGAATTCTTAAACTTGACTTCAGAGTTAATGTGTTTCTCAATGTTTTGGCAGATATTGGTTTTTGAGATACAAATCACATTAAATGAACCATGAAAATCAAGGAGCTCTCAAAACAGATCAGGGATGAATTAATAGAAAGGCACAGGTCAGAAGAGGTTTGCCAATGGTAAAATTGCATTTCACCATTTAGAATGAATGAATTTAGAATGAATATATGCCTCTGACTATCAGGACATGAGTGTAGAACAGCCATCCAAAGTGAGCAAATGGTCAAGCAAGAAACTGGTTAGGAATACCACTGTACAGCCAAACATGAGTTTAAACAAATTCAAAGTTCTGTGTTTGAATCGGGTGTCACTGTGAATACATCAATAATAAGCTGCCCTATACAAAAAGGTGGCCTGTGTGGGCAAGAGGCAAGAAAGAAGCTTGTACTGAAAAAGACTCATCTAAAGTCTCATACGATAAACATCAGAGACATGGTAGAGGATGTCATGGTCAGATGAGACAGCCAGTTACATCCATTCCCATCTGTCACCCCTGATAGTATCATGATAGTGATAGCATCATGTTTTGGGGATACTTCTCATCCATAGTGTTCTGAGAATACAACAGATGCAGATAACTACTTATACCTGTCAGTTAAGAGCTATATTATACGTTGATATTAGATTTTAGAATACATTATTTGGAATAAAAGGAACCAATAGTTATAACCATGTTTTTTTAAAAGTATTTAAAAAAGAACAAGGATTACACAATCTCGTGAAGTATGTGGGTATGATGTACAGTACTTAATAAAATCTCCCAATTCTATTGAACACTAGAAGAATAGGAGAGTTGGAAATGCATTGCCCACATGCTAAGCTTTCATTTATGAAATTAAATCTTATTGGTTTGCCAGATATTTCTTTCTAGATTTGCTGTGTTTGTTAATGTTTTGGTCTGATAAAAGAATACTAGTACCCAGTAAGCTTTAAATATGACACTTGCTTATGTTTGAACTATAGGCTTGCAGGATGCACAGAACTGTTTTTCTTCATCTGTAATCTAAAACACTTACTTATTTTGAGTTTTGCACCTTTTGTATAAACTCATGCTATTCAACATTTGAAATCCGTATGTGTTGAAAGGAGAGATTGCTAACAAATTTGTAGTAGTGAGTCTGTCTTAGGGACTTGCAGCCAGGAATTCTGGACTTGGCCCTGGATTTTACCCACAGCTTTGGGCTGACCAATACAAAGGTTTGGGCAGTATGAATTTAGTTGTTGCTGTTACATGTTCATATTGCACACCTGCTCATCCCTTTATTCCTTTTCATCTGTTGCACTTTAGATTTGTATTGTGGTAGACCCTATAGCAGAGCCAGGCCCACGTCAGTAGCAGGTCACCTTCTATGTGAGTCAGTAGTTTAAGTTCTGGACCTGGTTGCCTTGGCAACCGTATTTCCATCAGACAAGTTCAAGTTACATCCTGACCATTTTAGTGAAGTGCAGTGAACAAAGATCCGTTTGTTCCGTTATTCTTTCTCAAAACAGGCTTATACCTTATACATGTTTTTTTTTTTGCTTTGTTTAGTACAGAAGCACATTGCTGCCATCCAGGAAATAAAAATCCTGAGTTATCCTATAATTAAGGGTTAGCAATGATCATTTGAGTGAACAACCTGTTACATTGTGCAATCACAGCACCTAGAAGCTACTATTCATAGCTCATCTGAACTGTGGGTTTAGTGTTCGTGACAATATTCAGTACTTTCTACTGGGGCTTAGTTATAATTACATTTTGCAAATTGTACCTAATGTGAGCACAATTATAACCGTGAGGATGTATCCTTAAACAACGACTAGTGCAATCGATTCAAATGCTTAAAACTGAAAGTGATAATGGAGGTATTATATGACAATTGTGCTATCGCGTGATGATCATATGAAGTACGTGACAATGTACTATCTCATTGCGAGATAATTTTCTCATAGTTCTGGTATAAAACTCGGGATTTTTTTTCGTTGGCAGCAATGTGCTTCCTTGGTTTTAAAAAGCATGGTATTTCAATTAAAATACTTAACACCTATCACTTTTGAGATTTATGGTGCGTACCATAACTGTTTTTAGCAATCTAGAAATTTCATATTTGCAAACAGCAGAAGGTACATTACAAGACATTCTAAAACGTCCTTATCTTTTTCCTTGATTGGTTAATTCAAGTCATCGATGACGTAAGGTGGTGCTGTGTTCTGCGCAAGCGTGGGGTGCAAGAAATATGGCTGCGCCCTATGGATGTGCTGTTTTAATTTTCTGAGTACCCAAAGTTTTAGCAAAATTCAGAGTCCTTCTTGGCACCTTTCCATAAATGAAAAACACTCAAGCGTGCCCTTACCCGTAATCGGATTGTGCTGCAATATGTCTGTAGTTTTGAAAAACACCAAAGGATGGTTGTTGGACCAGTGCTCCTATATAAACAAAAGTTTTCAACAATGCCTGTCATTTATCAGCCCACAACAGAAACGGAACCTAAGGTGCAGATTTAAAAGAAAATATTTTGAAATATTAAAACCTCATATTTTGTCGAAGTCCCTTACGAACTCAGATTGCCTCGCTCTCGGGGGCGCAGAAACTGTCGCACAAGAAGAAAGAAAAATAACTGCGAATTCGCAGAAAGTGTCCGATGAAGAATTGCCTTCGATCACGACAAAGGTAAAGATCTTTCACGTCTAGTAGTTTAACATTCAACCGAGTGAAGGTGGGATCGCTAGTCCCAGACATGCCGGGGTCCAGAAAGTAATACATTATTATTTCCCTCCTTTTTAAAAACAATGTATAAAACGTTAGTGACAGCTAATTTATTATTGATAATAATAGTAATTTAGATAGGTATTGGGTCCTACCTGCCAACGTAAGAGGAAAATATTTTTAACTTGATGTTCCCGTATCCTGTCGACTACGGAGAGATTAGGGCTGCTGGCTTCACGACAGTCTTTCAGCGTGCTCCTCTTTTTTCTTAAAGCATTTCATTGACGACATTTCAAGCATTTCGACACCTCAGTATGCTGTAATGTTCGTGCATTGATAAATAAACCTTGATTGATAACTACTAAGTAGAGCAAAACAATACCTGCAAAAAGGAACCTCCATTACTGGCGGCGCAGGCGTTATAATTCTACTAACGGCGTTAATTGTTTCGGGTTGGTGTTGATTAGAAAGGACACCGAGACTTTAGAAGCATCTGTACCGGAATCTAAGCATCCCCACACTTCACTTGTGGCAGGATCTCGTTAGTGGTTCTCTGCCTGCAGTCGTGGCCCTGTCACCTGGTGAAAATACCGTTATCAGGCGCGTAAAAAACTAGATGGGCAAAACTCTCAACAAGTTTGACTTTATCCTTTGATCCGTGTGTCAAAAGTGGTGTAACATCCTTGCGGAAAAAAATCACAAATTGCATTCAAGAAAATAGTGCACACTATCAATCAAACAGGTAGTTTAGGATGTCAGTTGGATCCACCTTGCTGTGAATGGACCCAGAACTGAAACTGCAGGGGGCCTAATCCACCCCATTGTAATTACTCTGATTTAATCTTATACTTTGTTGCTCTTAGCTATACACAAATTATTTGATGAATTCATAATGCCTCCAGTATCTCCCACTCCAGTGCTACTGGTCCTGAGCGTACTCCTCCAATTTCTTTTCATTCCCTTTTTTTTTGCAGCGAAAAGCTTAAAGAGTGCAAGTGAAATGCATCGATTGACTTAAGAGTTCAGTGAAAGGGAAACAACGATTTTTGCATTATGATTACAAGGCTCATTACATTAACATGCATTTGTTTCAGACTGCCTGTGCAGCCACGTTTCATTAGAACATGCAAAGAAAGACAGTGGAATTAAATGGTTTTACTATTCTATGTGGGTACCATTTTGCATGCACATTTCAGTGAAAACCACACCAGTCTGCTGACAACCTCACATCTATTGACTCTTATATAGTTAGTTATTAAGAAACAACTTTGTGAAAAAATAAACATTTGTATTTTCTTTTGTTCAAGAAGCGTAAACGTAAGCACAAGGAGCTGAACCAAGGCGAGAGTGATTTGCAGGTCTACCATGAAAAGGTGAGCAAGTATTTTCAGTTGGATTTTCACGTACAGAAGGAAAAGACAGTTTTTCATTGTTAAGGAACAAGTAATAGGTTTATTCCATGCTGAAAGGAGTAGAAAGTAAAGGCAACGTTTTGGCTGTGGAGCCTTCTTTGGGTGCAAGGAAGATAGGGCAGTTTGAAAGGCTCCACAGCCAAAAAGCTGTTTTCTTTCTTCTCTTTTCAGCATGGAATAAACCTATTACTTGTTCCTTTGCAGCCTACACATGCTGACGCGGCTACCCACCTGAACGACTTTTTTACCCTCAACATGTAGTCTGAGCGTCTTGGGTACAGCGTTGTTTTAAAAAACAAATCCAAATCTGTGGGAAAGCTCCAGTGCTTGAAGATCAAATGATCAGAGCCTCACAAAAACACACACATACTGTAGGGTGGTGTTTCCCTGTGAAGCAAGGGGGTCTTTGTGTAAATAGCTTGCATGACTCCTCATTGGCTCACTCACAGCGCATGAGAATTAGTGCCTGGCCAAGTCATGTGCCGACTAAGCAGGATTCCTTAAGCAGCGGCATATAACAGGCACAGTGCCGCTGGGATTGGCATGACTCCTGTCCCCTCCGGGGGACCTGCAGGCTTGCTGTGACGTCCATGAGGGACACGTCACTGAATTGTCTGTGTGTTACAGGGTGTCCAAAGATGAATGTGCCATTTGGAAGGTGGTTCAGAGGAGTCTGTCTACATGTACTTATTCTTCCCATGTGAATATAAGAGTTGTTTCTGAGTGTCTCGGTGTAAAGACACAATCGGAAATTCCAAATTAAATTGCTATTTAATAAAAATATATGGTGATTTTACATTTCTGAAAACTATATATGTATGTTCCTTATTGTATATTGTAAAGTTCTGCTTTAGTTGTGCAGCTCCACCTTGTGGCTGTTCACAGCTGACCAGAATCACACTCCCATACACATTGGTTCTCTTAACTGTCCCTCCTAACTGCCTGTTACAAGTAGTGGGTGGCTGGGGGGGCAGTTCACCTTCCATGTACACCGCTCTGTTGTTCACACGCAATTTATTATGAAAATAGCAGATATATCAGCACCATGTCTGTACATTTTGTGACATGTCCACTTGTTAACCACTGTGATAGTTCGTGTATGGCACTGTTCTGCAGCTATGTCTGTTGCCGATTGTGTTTCATCCTTATATATTAAGTGTACAGTTTCAGAGATCATGTAATTGTGTTCAATTTGTTTACTGCAGGGGGTGATACTGTGGTGATCAGCACTACTGTCTGTGCTGGGCTTAATTAAGTTTTCTGTGTGGAGTTTGATTCTTCCCATGTATGTATGGGTTTTCACTTGACACTCTGATTTCCTTCTGTAAGCTGTCCAGGCTAATTGGTGACGCTAAGGTGTCCTGTGTTTACGCACATGTCTTGCTGTGGACCACTGTCCTGTTCAAGGTGTGGTCCCACATTGAACCCCATGTCTACCAGGTTAGGTCTTGGCTCAGTTTGACCCTTTAAGGCTAACTGGGTTGTTAAAAATTGACAGATGAATAATAAGCTGAGTTTTTAATGATTTATAAATGAATGCATATGTGATAACAAGTCAGGAAACCTAAGTCACTGTACGCGCAGATGTGTACTTCCTGGTGAGAATTACGTGGGAGGTTTGAATTAATTTGAAGGGGAGTGGTGCAGGACACAAGGATGGTGGTTGCTGGATTTGTCACTTGGGTGATTAATGATGGATCATTGATAAGATGATTCGTGTGTTAGCCTTAAATGGACGCTACAGTTTTGGTCAGTGGAATGTGCTAGTCAAAAGTCAGGGAGCCTTTAACTCTTTAGACCATATGTCTGCTATTAGTCTTTATTTTTTCCAGGCATTATTTTTATAAGGCAAGCAATGGGTGCAAGTCGGGATACACCCTGTAAGGAATACCAGCCCATCGTAGGGCACTCACAAACACGAGTTATCTTACCAGTGTGTCTATAAACTATGGGAGAATCATGCTAGCAGTTTTCAAATACAGTGTAGAAATACTGTCAGTGTTAAACTGATATAAGAATATCTGTAAGAAAAGATTTTTCGCAAAGATTTTCAACCTGCTGTAGTAGGACATTTTACCAGATTTCTCCTAAATTGCCTTTGAATTTTATGCCAATATTAAAGTGTCTTTTTTGTTTAGGTTAGGAAAGTCATTTTAGAGGGATCCAGAGCTTTACTCGATGAAGGCTTCACCTGCGGTTACTTCTACAGTGACAAAGCAAACGAAGGCTCAGAAAGTGTTTCCCGTCCTAGTGCTGGCAGTCGACTTGCTGATCTTTGTGAAATGGCTAAAGAACTCCCATTTGCGACTGAGAATGAGGAAACGTCCGTGCAGACAGTCGGCGAAGGAGCGAACTCCACAGAACACCTTGATCTCTTCACGCGGGTCACAGAAAACAACATGGACTGCTCAAGACTGGTCACTCTGATGGGAGAGCAATATCTCCTGCCTCCCCAATGCAGTTTCCTGCTTTCTGATATGTCAAAAATGCAGCCCCTTTTAAACTGTAAGTATTCACTTCCTTCTCTTGAGCCTTCCAGGCCGGTCTGCAAACCAGTGACTTTCTGCTGCACAAAGCAGTTTTAGAAATATTAATAACAGAACATTAAAAATATTTACGTGGAAACACCCAGGGTAGTAGCTTCGAAATCCTAAAATATATATGGCTTTAATGGTTTGCACTGGAAATATCCTATGAATGGGTAGGTTTAAGTAAAATTCTTAAGTGTGTGCATTGTTGTCACAAAAGACTAAATTTCATTTTTGACTCATTTGGAGCCCTTCATGTTACCACGTATTATTGCTTCTTACTTGGGTAAGCAGTAGAGAAAGCACATTGTAGCTGCCATATGTAACTTTTTGGAGAAGAGTGTTCACTGTAACCTTTAGCTCTGGTATTCACTAAATTCTTGCAATTGCATCTCTGACATCTAGTGGTTAAAATGAGTAAAACAGTTGTTCAGTGGTTTTCATTCCGTAAGCAATATCAAAACACTGCTAATAAATATTCAACATTATTCTTTTCTCCTGGAGGTAATAAAGTACATCAAATTTAAATCTACAAAATAGATGTGTAAGAATATCAAGTGATGATTAATGATGTGGAACACAAATCTAATTGATTTATTGTTGACTGGTAGATGGGATGAATTAAACTTCATTGATTGGTTAATAAAATGAGCTGCTACAGCACTTCATGTTGACAGCTCATATATAGTTTTTCTTGAGTTGTTGCGATCACAGTTTAGGGTATTATGATCAATATGAATCATAGTTTGCTAAATTAATTTCTATACACCTAAGCTCAGTTGGAACAAGAAATAGGTTTATTCCATGCTGAAAAGAGAAGAAAGAAATCACGAGGTTTTGGCCGTGGAGCCTTCTTCAGGTGTGTGAAGCTCAGTTGTATTAGTAAATTGTTGTAATCGAAACTGCTTGAAACTTGAGAAAATTGTTGATGTCATTGTACACATTCATTTGTGGCTTATTGGTGTGGAGGTGGTCTGTGGAGTTACAGAATTTCTTCCTTCTGTTAACACCATAACAGGGTTAGGAATTATTTGCTACTTTTGTTTTCCTGCACCTAAGATCAATTAAAGGCTAAAGCCATGCACAAAAGAAGGAAAAACGAAAAAGAAAAACACAGCATGTGGCTCTTAAGACTTCTTTAAGCTGCTCAAACCTTTCCAACACCTGTGTCTGTATTTCTACAGACCAGAAGTATGATGTCATTGTTCTTGATCCTCCATGGGAAAACAAGTCTGTCAAAAGGAGCAACAGGTGAGTATTGTAATCTGGATCCCTTAGAAAATAAATCCAAAAATGGCTTGATGTGGCGCACATTTATTGAGTGGAGACTGCTTCATGTCCTGGCAGCGGAAGATAATTCTTTCCTTTTGGGATGGCTGTTTTTTCCTATAGTAATTAGTTTTGATGGTAACTGATAGTTGAAGTGGTACACTTCGGAGAGTAAGGCATGGAATAATGATAGTTTTGTGTGTGCTGGAAAACCCAAAATTCAAAATAGTATTACAAAACAGTTTAGTTGTTGTTTCATGGCAGAGCCGGGCTTGATGAGCAAAAAGTCTTCAGATTTAAAGAGGCTGTGTGAGGCTGAATCCATCTTACATTATTACATCGTCCTTGGTCATTCAGCTACAGTCTGCATGTGGCACAACCCAGACTCATCTTTTACGAAAAACATCAGGGACTGGATTTTTAATTTTATTTTTCTGGAAACGTTCTTTGTCTGGTAAAACTATTATGATAGCTAGTTAATGGAGGTAATACCTGGAGATTTTCTTTAGAAGTAAAGCACAAGTAACACTGCTTGTTCAACTCTTGCTATTGCCACTAAAGATAGGATTAACAAGAAAGTCTCAATCACTTTATTGTAGTACTTCAATACTATTATCATCTCGTAAGCATAAAAGCGCAGAACTTCAAAGAGGAAGCTGAACTCTGAAAATGCTGCAACTTGCATGAGAAACACCGTGCCTTTTGGTTCATCTAAATGTGAAAGAGGAAAAATAAATTATAGCGTGGAAGAAATTCTTAATTTTTAACTTACCAACCTGTTATGTATGTTTTTAATTTTATTTAGGTATCAGAGATCTTTTAAAAACATTTTTGTTCAAAATGTAATAATGACTTGTTTTAGGTACAGCTTTCTTCCGGCTTCTCAGCTCAAGAGGATTCCTGTCCCTGGCCTGTCGGCCCCTGGTTGTCTAGTGATCACGTGGGTGACAAACAGACAAAAACATTTGCGGTTCATCAGAGAGGAGCTGTATCCTCACTGGTCTGTTGAGGTGCTTGCAGAGTGGCTGTGGGTGAAGGTAAAAAGTCCCTAGTGTGAATGAAAACTAAGGAACAGACTAACTCTTAATTCTGTTGGTCTGGAGACATTTTTCAGAGCTCAGTAAGGTCAGCCAGCTGTGTTATTGAAAGGCAGTTATGCACTGAAAGGTGAGGGGCTTCTGACAAAAGTATGTAACACATGAAGGAATATTAGCCACCAGATATTTTTAAATTATAACTGTCAGTTCCTGGCAAATTGTCTTGCCCTGTATAGTATGTCTGCATTTCTGTAAAAGCAGTTTTAAAGGACTGGGGCTATAACCTTTCAAGAGAGTAATATCTTACTCAATATGCCTTTAGTCTGTAAACCATTTTCTTTTTGCTCTATTCTAAGAATCTCCAAAATTTCAACATTTTAAAATAAAAAGGTTTTTATTTTAAATAGTGTACATTTTATTACTTTGTGTTTTACTCATCAAGTCCATTGACATGTGACTTTTGTTTTTGTATTATTAGCAACCTTTCAATGTCTTGCACATTCATTTAATTCCTTATATTGTCCATACTCTCTCAACAATCATCCACTTTAGCTTTGTCTGGGAGCAGTATTCCCAGGGAAAATCCAAAATAAAGTTTTCAGTGTTGAAAGCGAAAGAGCAGCTTTGCCCTTAATATAAAATGAAACTTTTATGGTAATGTCACTCTACATTGGTTCTATTTACACATTGGCATCTGTCAATGTTTTCTTGAGTTGTTACACCTACAGTATGTAGTGCCACTCAGGCCCTGGAGCTTCTATCATACCCTTGAGCCATTGTTTTACCAAAGAGAAACCAGGTAAACAGTGTCACTGTAAGGCTTATTTTTTTATACTGTGAACCCTGTTCATTAAAAAATACTGAAAAAATAATTTCATTTTTTAAAATAATCAGAAATAACTATAGCCTGTTTCTCCCATCTTAACAAAAATTCACAAAATTTACCCCCTCTCAAATTATCACTGATTTAGCTTCCTGAAAAGCCTGTGGATTTTTAAACATGGGTTTGTCAGGGTTCCTTCTCTTTAGCTGTTGAGGGATTAGAGGTGGATCACGCCTCCAAGATTGATTTTTTGTCTTTGAAGCGGTGGCTCAGCATGTAACTTTCTGTTCTTTCTTTAAGATAACAAACTCTGGGGAGTACGTATTTCCACTTGATTCTCCACACAAGAAGCCATATGAAATTTTGGTGCTGGGACGGTACAGTGGAGGCAAAGAATCTTCATTAAGGTAAAAAATGTATAGGTCATGTGGTGATGAGGTACATGTATTCTTTTGGTTAAATAATGTCATAATTCCCCATTTTTTCTTTTTCCATTTCCCCTTTGCAAGGTCTTCAGAAAAGCAAGAAATTCCAGTCCCAGATCAGAAGCTGATAGTCAGTGTGCCTTCAACTCTGCATTCACACAAGCCTTCATTAGCAGGTACAAGTTTAGCAGTCAGTGTGCCACAAATTATTTGCATATTTAATGTCCTGTACTGGAACAAACATTTTAAAACAGACTTAAAATCATTAATTTAAAACTAAATATTTTCAAAAGCAGTATATGAAATGTGTTGGTAGAAAAATGTTGATTATTATTGCTGATAATTTGCTTGAGGACTAAATCATAGTAGGGTTTTAACTGTAAAAATAACAGCATTGTGTTACATACATTCTGCATGTGAAGTTAAAATGGATTAGCCATGGCATGAGAGGGTAAAGTGCTGCACGTGGTACCCTGTAAGGGGCTGAGCAGAGTGAATAAGCCTCCCACGCATCCTGAAACATGCGTAGGCTGTTACCGTCAAAGTTGTCACCAAGATTATGATCAAATCATATAGACCATGGTGGGATTGAATTAGAAATATCAGAATGAAACAGGAGAAAAATTGTTGGCACAGAATGAAATGTGATGTTTGGACTGTCAGTGGGAGTGTCGCTGATATTTGTGTCATAACCTTTTTCAGTGCTTCTAACAAAAGAGCAAACAATAATTATAATGATGGGCGTCCCTGTTGAGTGCATCTGCACTAACGCATTTGCAATATTGTATAGGAAATAGATTGGATATTGATAAAATAGTGATAGCACCAAAGCATTGTAGCATAGCACATCGGCAAGTTAGGAGATCAAATTCCCTTTTTTACATCTAAAAAAGCCGTCCATAAGAGTGGCTGTTGGTGAGGGGAAGGCATGCTGTACAGTATCAGAAGAAAATCAAGACTTGTCTGGTCCCCTGAAAAAGAGCCTGTGTAAATAGTTTTTTTTGTTTACCAGCTATAATGACCAATAGCGATAGAATTCTAATGGAAAGCAGAAAAAGTATTTGAACATGAATAATAATAATAATAATAATAATAATAATTAATAATTGCTTACACTTATATAGTGGATTTCTGCATACTGCACTCAAAGCACTTTACAGGTAATGGGGACTCCCCTCCACCACCACCAATGTGCAGCATCCATCTGGATGATGCCACGGCAGCCATAGTGCACCAGTACGCTCACCGCACACCAGCTATCAGTGGGGAGGAGAAAGAACGATGAAGCCAAATCATAGATTATTATACACACCTGCTTTGCTTCAGCGGGCTGCCAATTGTGAGTTGGAGGGTGATATGGCTGCTGAACTTTATGAAAAGTGTCAGATTTCACACAATTTTGTATAAAAGGGCTGACTTCAACCATTACTGCCAGCAACAGCTTGGGTGGAATACCATTTAAGACAGGAGATTTCCATTTTTGCATAGAAGGAAGAGGTGCTTTTATATCCTGCAAAGTTATAAGCGTGTGTAAAAGCTCTGCTTGCTTAAATTTGGAGGTATTTTCAGTAGGTTTAAGTGACTTAATCCCAGCCCAGCCTGTTACCGCCTTCAGAGGTACAGACAGTCCTTTGCTTAGGTAAGGGTTCAGTTTCTGAAACCTTTCCATAAGATTAATTGTATATATTCCACTCTTGAGCCATATGGAAGTTTACTTTTGTTCCTTTGATGGTGGTAACTTCCTATTCTGTTTTCTACACTGCCTTGCTCACACAAACACATTTTGTAATATTAAATACGTTGTATTCTACAATAAAATGAAAAAGAATCAGTCATAGTGAAGTTGTTTTGTTTTGTGTGTTAGGAAATCTACTCTGACAATTACATTTCAGAGTGGCCAAATGTCTAGCCTTTCTCCCCTGTAAGTCGTGTTTCTGTGTTTACACCTGCAGGTTTATGGTTTCTGCAAAATTTCATTGTTGCAGTTTTTCTTGATTAGAATCATCCATTTCCATCTAACAGGACTTAAATGTTATCTCTTTCTTCAGTTGTTTGATGCTGTTGTGATTCTGGTACTGTGCCACTTTAATAATGTCCACACACTTATATTCTTATACTCTTTGTTAACAGGGAAGAGAGTTTGAAGGTGAGACTGCGTAGTCCCCAGAATGATGCAGACAATTTTAACATTAGCTATGAGTTCAGTTTTCTGTCACTCCTGAGAATATCCAAAATATTGAAGCTGTGCATCAGAGAGCTTAAGAGTTCCAAAGAATCATCTGGAAAGTACGGTGTCTGTAGTTGCAACCTCAGGGGTAAGAAGCTTCATCCTGGCTTCCGTACCTGTAGTAAAGGCTGTGCCTGTCATTGTGACCAATGAGTCCTATTTATCAGTGGTCTGTCTTGGGTGTATAGCTTTGCTAGTTGCACAAAACATAAATTGATTGACTAGTTTAGTTCCTAATCTCATGTGTCACTTTGATTAGGACCTACCAAAACTTGCTGATAATTAATGTTTTTGAAGTTAACGTGCATAGTTAACTTTCAGACTTTCAGCCTATATAAAGTACAAGAATGAGGATCTTAATTCTATACTCAAGTAAAAAAACTCTTTTTATCAATGAAAATATTTATGTTGGATATTAAAGTCTAGCAGAAATAAGTTTCAAGGCTGTATGCATTTTTATCATAAAATACATGTAACAGATAAAGTCATGTAAAATACAAAAATTAAATTATTGCAAGAGACCTGATTAGCAATCTATAGAATTGTAAAAATCGCTACAGTAAACTAACCTGGAAGATTAATTGGTACTGCTACCTGAAGTTTAACTGGGGTATAATATGACCTATTTAATGTAATTTAAACAATGACAAATGATAAGAGTAGTTTCTGAATATATTACATAGGAACTAGTGGCATTATAAGATCTTAAATAGTTTTGGTCAGGTGTGTTCTTTCTTGTATAATACTTTTTTCTGTTTCCAAAACATTGGGTCTACCGTAGGTCCTCTTGGAAGTATTAGAGAATCATATGGTCAGAATCCCAGAGCATATTGATTTTATACTTATTTCTTAAAGAACCATATTGTAACACACAACTACATGAAGATCAGGAAGCTACAAATGAGACACATATAATGGACATGAGGGTTTATATTAATATATAATCTCTCCTTTTTGCCAGTATGATTTAAATGCTTTAAAAATCTGTGTTTCTGATTACCATCTGTTTGCTAAAATAAAAAGACTTATCATACAGAATAAGAAAGGCTTGGGAGCTAAGTTTTATTAACAAGGCCATTTGAAGAATTGAAGTTCTATTGTTAATAGAACTTAGATAACTGCCTTTTTCCTTGCATCACCTTTGTGCTCACCCTAGCTAAGGAATCGACACAGTAACATTGACAGCAGCATATACTGTTTTTTTATTTTAATCAGGAAGGAGCACCAGTTCCCTGTAACTCAGGACACCCATAGATAAATAGTAAACCAAAAAAAATCAAGGAATGTGAAGTCTAGTGACAGAAAAAAGAGATCAGTACATGATTTTGCCAGTAGAGTGCAGTGGAGCAACACGAAAACCAATGGGATGTTGTGATCGGATAGGCCACTGAGCATTTTCAATTAATTTTTCTTTAGGAAAAAAACTGTTTCATTAAAATTTAGAATATTAACAACAGATTGCCTTTATTCCCTCATTTCGTTTGGCCTTATTACTGTAAATAACTGCAATCTGTCTAGAGACACTTAATCAAAGCCCATCTTTGTTATTAAACCCACTTGTTTATTTTTCTTTGAATTGCCTGATTAAGAGCTTATACAATATGGACTTTATTATATCACAGTGTTACTTTTCGTGAAGTTGTACAAAATATATTAAAATAAGACACAAATTCTTTAGTAACATTATGTACAGTCTTCTTTTGCTGTGTCATTGGATGTGCAATTATTTTCAGTTTGATAGTGATGGCTTACAAGTTTTTTATTTTGGTCAAACCTGTTGACTCACAAATCTAGTATTTTAAATACTAGTGTGAGCTACATAAGTCCTTATGTTTTATTTAATATGAAGATTAGTTGCAAAACTGCAGTCTTTTGTGCAAAGTTCACATTTTTTTTTCAAAACAGTTAAAACTGTCTCAGCAGACATTTGGTGAGAATCACTTCTGTTAAGTAATATTTTTTTTTCCTCCCTTGCTACTCTTTAACATTCCTTGAGTTTGACAGATTGTTAAGCCATTTGTTTGATCCAAATCGAAGAAAGAACTCACATGTGAGTGATTGAAATGTAATCAGAATAACTGACCAAAACTTATGTTCAGTGAAGGCAAGCACACATCTGGAATGAGCTCCTTCATGTAGCTTAATGAGGTGAAAGACAACAGTAATGAAAACACTAGAACATAAAATTCCCAGCTACTCCAGCATATACATTGTACTGTAAACAAGTACAAATTCTGTGGGAGTTCTGTGCGCCATGCAGTGAGTCAGCATGTTAGCTTCTCCTAGAAAAGAAAGAAGCAACCAGCAATCCCTGCCAGACATAAGGCCATGAGCATGCGAGTACACTCATCCTCCAAAAAGACAGAGGAACCTGGAAGTGATTTTGGTGTAGTTAGGGTAGACTCATAAACAGCCAAAGCAGACTGATGCTGATGATAGTTTTTAGTGCTTTTCCACACATGCACTGTGATCAAAATTCCCTGACCCACGGTCCAACTGATGATTACAGCCTACGCACTGTTTTGTGTGCAAAAGACATCACATGCTAGTTCTTTTCCACTGATTTTGAGAAGGAGCTCAAAACCTTAGTAAACTTCATATTTATAAATAAGCTGTTCTTTATTCTAAATGTAACTAAATTAGATTTCCTTTCTTTAATTTTATAAGCGTGTGAAGTGAAAGTAACTATTTTAGCTTCTCAAAGTACTTTACATATAGGAGAGATCATGATTCATCCATTACTGAAGTACAACATGCACCTGTGGGAGTAGCCTCACTACAACACAAATAAGGTAGGAACGTGAATCGTTTACTTAAACAGCTGAATCGAGGAGGAACTTTTGAATCAGGTCTGGGGTGGGGTCAGATTTTGGAAGCCCAGAGTACAATTTAGCCAGGGCAGCAGGGCTAACATCCCTGTTCTTGCAAACAGTGCCATGGTATCTTTAACTAACTTTGGTGTAATGTTTTGTCGACTGGATGACAACTCCTACAGCATCGTTTTAACACGATACTAGAGCATTGCTTTGGAAATTCTGGTCATTATGCAAGAGTGCCACCTACTGATCCACCAACAGACCTACTTAGATAGCTTTTCTTGAGTACTACTGAGTAGTTCCAAATTTGCATAGCTTCTGATAAGATCAGGCTAAAAAGATGGTAAGGGGACAGAAGTGCTGTTGATTATCTGTGGTGTGACTTTAAGACCTAAAGGTTCCAAATGGTTAATTTTAGTCAAGCCTTCCAGTATTTAGAGTCCACTTAAAACCTAAGTATGATGAGCCTAGGTAGCCAGAAATATTTTGTCATGGTCTTTGGGACTTATAGCACTGCTGCTATTTTAAAAAGGGATTGTTACAGTATTGTTTGAGAAAACGTGTGTTTCAGGGATTTCACTAATTTGTAAAACATTCTTCTTCCAATTTACCTGAACCTAAATTACCTGCAACTACTGTTGCAAATTAATTTACAATCAAAAGTGCCACAACTTTTCACAACTGCATATTGTTTCCAGCTCTGTATTCAGATCTCATGTTTGTCAGAGTACCTTTTCCTGAATTTACTACCGTATTTAGTAGTCTTGTGCTTCCCAAAAAATGATTCAAGCTTATGCAGGTCGGTGCGTGTCAGAACCGATGTCATCCCCAATGACACACTTTGCCGAAGACCTTAAGCACCAAACATTGACTGACGCAGTGCTGAGTCCAGCGTGACGTCAGAAGTTTTACATTTGAGATGCATGTCTTCTACAGCACAGACAGAACAGTGACTTTTGCACTTCCTTGCTGTCAAGAATTTAGACTGAGCCTTACCACTGAAAATAAGAGTACATCAAGTTCAATCACAAATACAGTTTATTCCCCTATTCAATGAGTTGGCTTAACCTTAAAACTCTAGCAAAGCTGCATTTAATGCATGGCAGACAGAGCTGTATCTAAAAGTGTCCAAAATTTATATCACTATAAGTAGTTGAAAAAACTTTCCAAATCAGGATTATAAAAGCTGCTTACAGTGTATTATGCTAAATAGTTTAATCTAATGTGAAAATCATTAGGATCATTCAAATAAGAAAACTACTTCTGGTTAATAATTTGAGAAGGTGTTATCCAAAGCTGCGTGCGCGTGGTGAATTATGCATCAGCAACTGTTACTGCACAGAGTCTTGCAAGTATACAGTTTGGTTTTATAGTTTATGATTTTTTTTTTTTGTAATGGGTATTGCAGAAGAATTAGAATAAATCTGTATATTTTAGTCTAGAGAAATCTAAACCAATTACCAGATTTTGAATATTAATCCACAAAATGAAAGTATGAATAAGAATGTTTGATTTAGCATGTCTAAAGCTCTATTTTTCCCTGAGAGGAATATTATTAATTGGTGCGCTGAAACTTCATGGATCAAGGTAAATTTTTAATGTAATAAGAAACTGTTTGTGAATAAAGAGAAATTAATGTTAGACAAAACAGTCTGTTTGATTTCTCTGTCCAAAGCTAGTATGCTAGTATGCAAAAGGTAAGAATCTTTTAATGTAAAAATAATAAGCAAATTATAAGCCATAAATGCTGTTTATTCAGACAATTTTGAGATTTTCTTACAGTTCTAGGTGGTGACTCGGGGAAAAAAAAAATTGGAGTGCACACATAAATACATATTCAGTTTTCTATAATTTATTGGATGTGAGCTGTTAAAGAGGTGATAACAAGCTTCACTGGTGAAATCTTAATAAGGTCATGGCAAAGTACTCACCTTAAATGTTAATGAGGTTAAATTTCTTTGTACATGGAAGGCTGTAGATGACTAATTTAATCTGTATTTTTGATGCTCTATACACCTTTTAAATAAAAATGTATTAAAGGAAAGATGAAGCCAGAACCTCTGCTGTAGATAAATTCACTCCAGCACAAAACTATTACTTTAAATATTTAGTGAAATTAATTGACATCTCACTTATGGTAATGAATATCGTCTCTAATATTGGATGTGTCGTCCACTGCACATTGCACATCATTGTGCTGTAATCATCTCAGGCAAGAAATCCCATCTCCACGTACAGCACCAGTTCCTCAGGTTGCTCTCTATAATAAATTTGTGAGAAATAGGCTTTGGGTTAAACACCTGGAATCCATTCCAGGTCCAGAAAGAATTGAAGAGCCACTATCAAGACTAATAGAGAATACTGCAGCTTTGATGTATCACTTTTTTTACACTTAGTCATAAAATCTTGTCTTGGCTTTCCTCCGTATTAATGTTAAAGTTTTAAAGCCTGAAGAGCACATGGCCTCTCTGAAGAGTTTGGAGTTAAATGAATAATTAAAATCTTTTATTCCTTCATTTACACTTGGCAAGTTAAGACGTTGGGAGTGCTTTCTGTACTTTCATAAGGTCAGTATTTGGCCTATTTAGTTTTTTTTTTATTTCTCACGGATGTCTAGAGGCTGGTGAGTGCAGAGGCTTATTAAAACCTAGAGCAGTTTGAGCTGTTTAGAAAGTTAAGTGAAAGCTCAAGATGTGCACGGTTATGAAAGTCATGAAAAGACAGGCAAGTCACCTGTGTGGGCGGCGAGGTCTCTGTTCCCTGCCTTTAAATGAAACCGATCTGTCAGAGCCACTGAAGCCTGTGGAGGCATTGTTCCCATCCTCAAGGGCATCCATTCCTCATGATTTGTGATTATAAATAACAAACCCGGCTGATGAAATCCTTGAAATTAATTTTCTTTTTGCCATTTTTAATGAAACATTCCTTTAAAAAAAATCCCTCCGCAGCTGTGATTGAATTTTCTTTTGTCTTTCTCATTGTTCCTCTTTGCAGATGTGCTGAAAGAGTATGTGGATCCTGCAGCAAAATGCCTGGAGTTGTTTGCACGCAACCTTCAGCCTGGGTGGACAAGCTGGGGAAATGAGGTCCTCAAGTTTCAGCATCTGAGTTACTTTAATGTTGAGGAGACAGACCCAGACATCCTAACCTGAGCGTTACACTGGGCATTTTAAGTTGAGGTTTTCCTTGTAAACCTTTGAGCCTGACTGATAGATACAGTAGGTCTAATCAAAACAATCCAGTTGTCTAGAAATCATTTTATTGAAGTGTTTTAACTGGTAATGTGTGGAATCCTATAGGAGCCAAAGCTATCTATGTTGGCTAACTTATGATATATACCTGGTTACAAACACTTCATAATCTGTCTTAGCAGCTTCCTTATCACAGAGACTCCATTTACTTAAAACATATTAAAAGGTTTGGATATCTACAGTACAAAATGCTGTAAAACAGAAAATGTTTCCAGCATAGGCTAGTGTTTTTTTTAGCATATCCTTTAAATGTAATTGATTATACACAGGTTAAGAGAATAATCACCAAATCGATTTTAAGAGTCTTCTGTGTGCCAATTCAGTTGAATTAGCACAATAAAAATATGGGTGGCACTGTGGTACAGTGGTTAGCTGCCTTCTAGTCCTGGGGCCCTGAATTCAAGTTTTTATGTTTGTATGTCCTCCCTGTGTTCACATGGGTTACTTCTGGGTGCTCCGGTTTCCTCCCAAATTCCAAAGACTTTGCTTTGGACTTTTTGTAAGTTACTTGGGTTCTGGGAAACTCGGCCAAGGTGTGACTGCGTACGCATGTCTGTGTGTGTCCGCTGACTGGTGTCCCATGCAGGATGAAGTGGTTAAAAAATAGATGGATTAATAAAAACAGATATTTTAAAACCCTGACATGCCTGTCGCTTTATCCACATTTAGAGTAATGTTTTAAGAGTTGCACGGTTGATAATGTCTTGGGTTCAAAGTAATCAACTGGTAGGTGCAGAATTGTTTCTGTCAGATATTGGAATGAATTAGTGTAAGATATACATGATTTCTTATACTATTTTATATTAGTTGCATGGACTACATACAACCAACAGGATAATCTGATAATCTGAGCCAACGTAACAGCATAGTCCCTAGAAAACATAAAATACAGCTCACATGACATGCACAACTGCCTTAGTTTTCTTTGTAAGGAATATGAAAGTAATTTTTGATTGCTTTTACTGTTGTTACTTTTAGAATGAGTGCATTTGTAAGTGCAACAGCAAACACCTTTCTGTTTAGTTGCATTCCTGTATGAATGACTTCACAGCACAGTAGAAGGCAGATGCTGTTGTATGAAGGGAAAAGAAAAAAGGGTAAATGCTCAGTACTGAAGAATAAAATATGTAGATCAGTGAAAAAAATCATTAAGATTAATAACACCTACTGTCAGCTTTCTCCTGTGTTTTGACACTAAGTGTACTTAAGGGGATACATTACAGAGAGATCTGAACTGAGCTTCAGGTCACTGCAGAGAAATCCTTCTGACAACTGTGGCCTTTTCTGTTTTCAGTGACATGCTGTGTGTAACGACGCATGGATCACTGGCACCGAGAAGTGATACCTAGAGATTGCATTTGCCATATTCTTTTAATTGCATCAGCTGCACCTGTACAAATAAGACAACAATTTTCCAATGTTCAGAGCCGGAAACAAATTATTTGACTGGTATACCCAAATGTAAGTTATTACAGAAAAATTGTGCACATTTTAATGTGATGATGAGCATAACCAATTGTATAGCATACCCCTCCCCCCTCGCTTGGCTGGTTCTTTTGATCTAATGAGAAATTCATGACTCTTTCAGGAAGGAGCTCTGTCACAAAGCTCTATGAGGACGAATTACATTTGTTGCAAAGCTATTTCAAATTAATGAATCTGGAGAAAGGAGGCTGATGGATAATTTAACACTAAACGTTTAGGAACCTTCTTTAAGTCTTGTATTGCCAAGTAATTCCACACAATGTTTTTAAGAGTTGTGTTTAAAGTGCTTTATTTTTTAATGTACACACTTCATGTTTGTTTAAAGAGGCGGATATCTGAATGTTTCTGAACATTCCTTGTTAAAAGTACATAGTTCTGATTAAACACCCTGAACACTTCCTCTTGATATTGGGCATTTTCCAATTTCCAATTTATGCAAATTATAGGTCTAAATGATGTTATGAATGTGGAATTATAGCAGTTTGATATGAAAATGTACAGTTATTGATGTTTACAAAGTTATAAGCAAAAATGCTAAAATCTTAATCTGCAATTAAAACTTAAAAAGCATGTAGTACTGAACAGGGTTAGAACATAAACCCTTGAAGATTGAAATCCCAGAATGATGCTTTGTATTATTCACACAAACATCAAATGCCTCTGAATAATAAATTAAGTAAATTAAAAAGTACTTAATGGGACATAAGTAATAGAACATGAATTATATCTGTCACCTATTGAGAATGCTTGGCATTATAACACAAATTCCCTGAAAGAAATGCAGTCATTACCTCATGGTCAGGTGCCTCAATACTATCCCTCTACTGAGTATGATACTAAATTATGGTCATGATCTCGTGTTTCCTTTAGGTAAAATGCAGGCATTATGTTTGAGGAGAAGAAATTGAGGGCCGTGGAAGGGACACAGAGGGTCATGCTGTATCTGTTGGTCCCCACTACAGACAGGGGCGAATGTATGTTCTTGTAAAAGGAAACCACGTGCCATGAGAGATAGCTGGGAGAATCTGGGAAACAACCAGCAGCTCACAGGCTAAGGAGACTGCAGTGAGCTGCACACACATGGACAGGGTGAGCATGGTTTCCCACTCTGAGACGGTAGTGCACGCACAGAGGGCCAAGCTGAAAGCTGCAAGCTGGCAGGAGAAAAGAATGAGTATAGAACACAGGTGCCAAAGTACTGTAGCTTACTAGAGACTCTGGGATGCAGCAGAGGTAGAGCTGTGCACACAGTGACAGGTGCGATATCATAACAAACACAGATGGAAAGGCAAACACAGTCCAGGGGCGTGGTCCTGGAACATAGCTGTGTTCGTAGCCAGGCAGCGGGTAGACAGGCTAAGAACAGGGAAACAGTCCAGAGAAGTAAACCAAAACTTTAGCAGGATTCGTAGTTGGGGAGTAACAGTACAAAGCACCGAGGGTAATCCAAGAGACAAAGTCGAGACAAGGCCGGGCTGAGCATCTGAAGCAAGCATCATACAGGGAACTAAGGAACAAGATAACTTGAGACTTACTCAGAGCATGATTCTACATCTGAGCACTGAGAAGACTGAGGGCATTACTGAAATATTCTGCACCTCCTGCAATGGGCATGGATGGAATTTTCTTGCATGTGATGCAGATATCCTGTCGGAACGTGTTTCCATGGTAACTAGCATTGAGAGACAGGTAAGTTGCCAGTAACCATGGTAAACACTAGCTCACTTCACAGCTTTGCAGCAGAGGTTAACCTGACAGTATCCATATAATTCTTACAGGAGTGGAAAACCTTGGTAAGTGAGACCCATGTTGTTGCAAAGGCTGATATCCTTTACTAAAACCTCTTTGGAAAAAGACACAGGGAGTAACCAATACCTTAAAGAAGTGTATCTGCAGAGGAAGGGCTATAGCATCTCTAGGCTCTTCACCTATCACCTTGGCCTTCATCCCCAAATTAAATGAAAAACAGATCAGGTTGGATGTCCTGAAGGGTCGAATATCCTGATGGGATACGGCAGATGGAGATACTGCTGTCATCCAGATTCAAATGGAAATTTGTCCAGTCACAGTGGTTGAATCAAGTGAAAGGTTATTGCAATGTTGGGCATAAAAGATTTGTTAGATTGGTTAAACCAAACGGTGGGTGAAGAAAGGTTGGGATTGGAAAAACACTGGAGAAGCACTAACTGTGGATGCACAGAGGTCAACCACTTGCCAGGCTGTGGTGAGGGTCAGAAATACTGCAAACTTCAGATACAGGGATCATAAATCAGGAGAGATACTGTACATCCCATGCTTTCTGTGGAGTGGAGTGCTTGTTGTCATAGAAGTGATGCAGCAGTGGTGCCTTCTTCCTTGGGACTGAATGCTACCTTACATGTATATCTTTTAAAGATCTCTGCAGGAGTTTGCTCAAATGCCAGGCCACAAGAAGACCTTTGCCCACCTCCAGAGATTTTGGTATGTGCCATAAGGGTCCTTACCCCCCTACTAAAGGTATTCTCATAAGCCTGAAGAAATGGAGTAGCTGAGTGAAAATCAGTTAAAAATAGAGCCTCCAATGGATATGCCACCACTGCATGATGAATGAAAAACAATGAGTGCTGAGAGCATGTAGCAAAAGATGCCACTCCAAGAAGTGTCTCCAAGCCTCATTTCCACCTTTGAGCAATGAAGGTTCAACCACTGATCTCTCATTCACTATTGGGAGGAAAGGAGAACAGTGAAATGGAAACCTGGTATCTAAAAATCAGCGAGGAAAAAGGTGTCCACTGCATCTAGGGAAGTCAGAAACACACGGCAATGTCATGTGTCAAATCAAAAGTGGATCATTCTTCAGATACACTAGCACATCATGGACAGTTGACTGATGGTGACCTCCTTAAGTAATTCCATCCAAATTATGGGTGTTGTGGGGACTGTGCTGCATCTATGACCATTCCTACTCAGAGGAAGACCACCTTTGCAGGCCCTGCCCCACTTTAAGAAGAGCTGTAAGCAACTACGGCTAAGATGAAGAACCTCCAATGAGGTCCAAGAGGTCCTGGTGGAAGTGGCAGAGAGACAACAGGGGAGCAGTGATTCTATATTCATTCTGAAAATCCTCCCCCTCCTTTTTATTACTGTTTATTTTAGTTGTGTGCACACAATGCAAATGAGGTTTAAGTCTTGTTGAGGAAAACATATCTGCTTTGAGCCTCAGGAGCTATCTAGACACCAGGGTATGTTAATACCATATTGAGGATGGATGCTCCATCCAGGCCTTAAGAGAGAATAAATTTATCTTGACATTTGAAGGTGTGATCCTGCAGTGAAGCTTGAGACCACCTTAGGTTCATAAATCTATGATCTGACTCTGACCTTGCCAGATTACAGAAAGTGCAGTAGGGGCTCAAAAGGGCATCCTTTGTCCACACATCCATCCTGATGTCTTAATTAGACTCTGGAAATCATGGGAAAGGGAGAGAAAGAGATGGAATGGGACCCAGGAAAACTCTGAAAGGGATGAAAAAGACTCTTAGCAGAAATGGTGTCTAGCTACTGTAGGTTCCATTTCTCTCAGGTGATGTAGTGTCAAGGCATCAGTGAAGCAAAATAATAATGATTAATTTTAGCATCAAGCCAGCATCATGTAGTCCAACTGGACAAATTTGATATACGTACTTGGCAGTGATGAGGGCACTTCCTCAAAGGGCAATAACTACAATTTGCCTAAAGGTGAGCTATTGTTTCATTGTATTTTCAGTACAGACCTCTTCATTTGTCAGTTCTAAGACACATCAGCACTAAAATAAACAATGTTGGCATTGAAGGAAGTTTAGTTGCAATCTGAAGATGAAAGTTCATTCATTGAATTGATTTGGCAGTATTAACTTGTGGTTTAGAGATACGTTATTATTAATATTTTTGTGGTGTATATTGGTGAAGCTTACATTTTGTAGTGCACTGGCTAAACAACTCTTGTTGCATTTTTTCAGGTGAAAATTAGTCAGCTACTAAAAGGCAACTGAAATGGCACTTTGTATTCTTTCAGATCCTCTGCATTTTCTAGCTAGTACAAAAACCAAAAGGGATTTTAATTAAATATCAAAAGACAAACTTTATTAGGTTTAACCTTTTTATATTCACCAAGGGTAATATGAGCGTAAGCATTCATTACACATACTGTACGTTGAAAAACAATCATTTGGAAGCTCAATTGATTCCTCTTTGACCAGTGTCACAGGGACAAGACAGTAGGAAAAGGGAATAGTTATGGTGGC